ACCGGAGCGGGAGAAAAATTCGTGGGGAGAGGATAAGGTAAATGTGTCCCCTTTTAAGGGAGGGGGGGGGGGGGGGGGGGGGATGAACTACCGTCGTGAGATTCGGAGAGAGTCGCGCTTCGTGTGTGCCGTACCGCGAGAGCGGCGTGAAGCGGATGCGCAGCGTTTATTTATCTTGTGATTGTGGGGACTCGTGGACACAAGACGGTAACTTTGGAGTTGGTGCCCTGTTGGGGGGCTTGTTCACATGCGGAAGGACTTATTTCGCCACCATCTGTTGCGCAGACGGAAGAACGCAGCTTGGCCGCCACGTTTGCGCATTTACCCCCGTTCCTTACGAGAGATATTGATGCAATTGCATGTGTGTTTGTTGGATGCTTCCGGAACATGCTACTGCTTAAAGCATCAGCTGCTGGCACGACACCGGCGTATTTGGTACTTTGTCCCTCGCCTGAAACCATTGCTGGCCAGTACGAGTCATCAAGGTGTTTTCTTCTGTTATTTTTGCGTACAACATTTTCGTGTTTTGTTTTTTTCTACTCGTGCAGTCGGTGTATGTTCCTGTGGGTAGGCGCAGCGTTTGTATCTGGAGGTTTCCAAACGACCATTCCGGCGCGATACGTGAATGCCTCAATTTTTTCTGCGATCATCGACACGCGATATGTAGAGCAATAGGTTTGTTGGTTGTACCGGAGTAGCTGGTGCGCTTCACGCAGATGCTCATTACCGTGCCGGGCGAGGTATATTGTGTATGATAAGACTGGAATGATAGGGGGTATGCCCTCAGTTTTGCTTTGGGGGTGAAAAGTACGGTGCCTTTGCGGCCAGGGAGATCCATCACTGGGAGTGCCTACTGGAACTCTAGTGCTGTGTGGCAAGCTCGGCGTGACGCTGTTTTTTGCGGTATAACGATGGGCACAATTACGAAACAGGTGGTGAATGAAAACAATTTTGATAAAGTTGGAGGGGTGAATAAGTAGTGTTGCGTTAAAGGATGAGTAGGGAATCCCGGCGTTCGAGGACTGGAGGTGTAAGCTTTGCAGGACTCTGTACGGGATGAGACCATTTAGGGCAGTGGCAACACGTGCGATGGCTCGAAGTTGTACCCTGCAGGGAGGTAGAGCTTATGCTTGTCGGTGTATTTGTATTTTAGTCGACCATTGCCTCGTCGTTTCACGTAGGCACACACAGACGGAGAATGTCGGAGGAACCGCCTCACGGACGCGATACCTGAGGTTTTGGCCTGGACAATGCGGTTGTTGTGTGTATGGCTACCCATGGCCTTTTTCGTGTTGACTTTTTGTTGCTGGAGTTTGACGGTAAAGGATCATCTAGTGCCGACGCCGGGTTCCGTAAAGGTTTTGCATGTACAAGTGAGAAGAAGGTGCGGTCGGAGGTGGATGGATGGAATCGATACTCTGGCCGTTTTACTCGTAATTACCGTGTCTCGGTTCAGATGTAGGGGTACAGCATCTGCTTGGTTCTATGTAGACTTCACACGCAGTTTGAAAATTGAGAAAAATACCTCTGCTCATGAGCTTAACGGCAGTGATGCCAGCCGAGGTGCCAGCTAGTGGTTACTTCGCGTGGCGAACAACATCATACGGAGAGAAACAGTCTCTCCGTTGTCTAGTTGGCGAGCTAGCCTCTTCCACACGATGAACACACGGCAGTCGACATTTTACCTCTGCAGGTAATTTCTTCCCAAGGTGGTGATTTTATTCTGGCGTGTGGGAAAAACAACTCATGTGAGTGTTGAAGAGCTGTACCGCGGTCGTCGCCAAAATGGTCTCGGTTGGCGACCACATCCCGGGATGTGGAAATAGGAATCCTCGTGCATGTAGATTCACCCAAACGTTGGCCCAGAATGTTGTCGTATCCTGGAGTTCTTCAGAACGTCGGAAGTCAAGATTCACACGCGATACAACCTTCATGTTCGGTCATATGTTTTGAGCTCCTGCCCGGCAGGATATCTGTGAGCGCTGATTGTATGTAACGGAAAAACAAATGTTGCGCCATGATATATGCCTACGTGCTTTCATCAGTGCCGTGTTACAGTAGGCCGAGATGTCGAGCTTTCACTATATTTAGAGACCCAGAAGAAAATTGGTACTGTACATGTAGGGCCTGTAGCGTGCTATGGATATGTACAGACCGGGTCGGGACGTGGCTGTCGAGCTGTTTTAGGAAAAATAAACACAAACACGGAGAGACTACCTGTTCGAGATATAGACTAACCACAGTCGAAGAGGATGTGTTGAAGTCTTTGCAGTGAGGGGTGGGGGGAGGGATTTATTTGGCCACAACGTCCAACCGGTACCAGTTGCACCGCATTTCCACCTGCAGCTGCAGTAGTGAACAACGGACAATGGGAGCATCGTCACAATTCAGATATACTTCTTCGGCATGCCTTTCAAGTGCACACTTTCGGGCGAAGACAGCCAACCTTTAGTGTTCGCGAAGTTACGAACCGGAGTGGCCGTGAACCATGAACATATGCATATGCATATGAACATATATTTTTCAAAAACGCGGCGCAATTACGGTGAAACCGCCTGTAGGCGGCAAATGTGTGGATAAACACCCTAGGCGGAACACCTCACCTCGAAAACAAGCTGTCTCTAACCTGCCTACTCTGCCGGTCTCTGGCTGGTCCGGCCAGGCGAAGAAAGCAATGGACGGCAAGGAAAGTCTTGGACAAATAACCGCTGCTGTCGGGCGCATCTGTCTGCGGTTCAAGAACGGACCCGACGCGCCGTCGCCACAAGGGCAAGTTTTTGCTAGATGCACTTTCGTCGGCCGAGGCGAAACATTCTTCGTACCAACTCCGCCCGCCGCCGACAGTCAGGCACCTCCGTTAGTAGACAAAGCAATCGGGTCACCACAAACGCTGCCGTCATCGGTGCAGTCGGAGCCTGTCGACATCACCGAAGCCGTTAATTCGCAGATCGACCAAGACGAAGACAATGTTGGCAATGACAACGTGTCTAACGTTGTCGTAGCTGACCTGGGCTTCAGCTTGGACACAGCCAAATTTGACTTGGTGGAAGATACCCTGTCTAAGATCGATGCTACCGTTATCAAAATCGAGTTGTGTCTTCGCCACGGTGGCACCGGTGGCGGCGGAAGTACCGGGGCCGAGGTGGAGACCGCGGTCATCGGTACGGCTTCCGTTCGAGTGGCCGCCATCCTTAGTGGCGAGAACGAGTGGACGAACGAACTGGCCCTTGGCACATACACCACTTCGCCACCACCCGATGCAGAAAACTTGAAAGAGGTTGTGGCGGAAGAGAGTAAGGAACCGGGCTTGACGGACGATGCAGCAATACAAGATGCATCATCCGGGCTGCTCGAGTTAGGAGGCTCTACCTCGACAATACGAGTGACGCTGTTGGCCAACGACGACACGGCCGACTACACAGTCGGAGCCGGGTCTCTGTGGATGGATGGAGCCGAAGTAACTGGCGTGCCAGAGGGTTGGAAAGTGGTGCCTCCTCCAGAGACCGAGCGCCCCGCCTGGAACGATGCCATCGCCCAGGCACTATCAGGTAAAATGTAACGCCGTTGTTTACCTGTGCCGCTTGGGCACCCTTGATGCATATCGCGATACCTTCCACTAGGGTCGCAAGGAGAACACACCCTCTATGTAGAGGGCTCTGCGTACGAACTCATGCACGTAGGGGTTCGCTTGGTGACTGTCTTCCAACGTAGAACGCGGTGGGTGAATACGCCAGATGTTCAGGGAGCCTCGTTAGCACTAGGAAGATGCGATGATGAGTTTGATACTAGGTGACGCAATACATATTGGTAGCCACTGCGTGTTGGGTCTGTTTACGACAGGGTGTCGAGGATGCTGCTGACGTGCGCAATCGCTACTAAACGGACAATCACCGTAGCACCTCGAGATTCTTCTACGAAAAGAACAGCAGGGAAAGTCTACGGTCCTAAGATCTTGGGGTATGAATGTTGGCAACGACCGCGTCATGGCGTAAGAGGGGCAGCTTCGTTCTTGCAAGTTGCACTTACCCTCGGCACTGTTCTCCCTAGCCCAGCCGCGGTTTTCCGAGTATCCATGCCCCAGCCGGATCCCATCTTCCACACCAGGTTGCAGCTGCGAAAATTCTTGTGGGATCGTACGGCACATGACCCACGCGTACTCTCCCTATCAACATCCCAATCACAGGTCAACCACGGCACGAGTTTTCCATCTGGTGGGGTGCAGACCCAGTCGGAGCGCCAGGCGACAACCTGGAAGAGGAGGAAACCATCAAGGAATTCCCAGCCATGAGACTCGACGGGGGGGTCTTGAGGTGGGCGGACACGTTTTCAGTGTAGTTCAACAGAGCGTAAGCCGATAGGCGCTTTACTCGGCTTCAGCAGACATGCTGAAAGAGTTTCATACAGCTCTGTTGGCACTTGCATGGTGTCTACGTTTTTTAAGCCTGACGATGACCGATGTTAGACGCTGCTCTACAGGACAACGCGCGTTTGAGACATTTTTCATCAACGCATGTTCTAATGGTCGATTGTTCCACATGGAACTCAGCGCGTTTCAGTCTCTCACGATGTTTGGGGCGACTGTGATCAGCACATGTTTGGCAATATCATCGGGTTGAACACCCATCTGGACCATCTCCTGTAAGCATGCTGTTGAGAGGGAGGCATCCTGCTAGTACAGAAACCTTCGTGGACATTGGTTCTCCCGTTTGTGACAATATCAGACGTGTCACCTCACATGCCCGGTCCCGATGCTCCGTGTCCATACGCTCTTGCTCGCTCCTCAGCTACGTTCCTGACGAGGAGTCGGTCAACGTGGACTCCGTCGCAAGTGATTCGGCAGCGGATGAGGGAAGTCAACGCCAAGCGTCCTCTCCTGCCCCTGGAGGAGGGAACGGAGGTGGAGCAGGCAGTACCACTAGCACCGACGAAAACCCTACCCCTGCGGTCCCGCGCGACCCGCCCGCGGGAGCGTGGTCCGTTCGGTTCCCGTCTTTCCAGACAAAGAGCTCGTTCTTGCACCGCACATCGATTCGGGAGCTTCGGCAGGCCCTCACTACACCGAGCGGAGGTGGCCACAGACAGGAAAGAGGGCCTGAGGATCCCGAAAAAAATCTTCCTTCGACGACGAGCAAGCTGCACGTGATTCTAGAGCGCCGGGAGCTCCGGTCTGAACCCTCGGCGGACGAAGGGAAGGCGGGCGGCAAGGGGGGAAAGAAGGGCGGTGGCAAGAAGCCGGCGGCAGGCAAGAAAGGGGAAGCCGCCGAGAACCCTCCGCCCCCCGTCGAATCTCCGTGGCGATGCCGAGCGGTCATCGATCTGGCTCCTTTGGCCCGACCAGCTGCCGTCATGTCGCATCCGGCGGTCGCTGCGGGCAGTCTTGTAGATTCCGACGCGAGGGACTCTCCGCTTCGCGCCGAGCTCCGGGCGACGTTGGCTCTTGCACCGTCGCCAGCAGAAGAGGTACCAATAGAAGCCACTGCGGACGACGCGGCTGGGAAGAAAGTAGAGGAAGCGATGGCTCCAGCTGTGGCTCCTACTGCCGAAGAAGTCAAGGTAAGGGACAATCAGACAGGGTTCATCTGCACAGTGCGATAGAAGTGGAGGGAGGGAAATGTGGTCTCTGTATTTGATTTACTAGAGGTGTTGGTAGGTGTGGCAAGCGGCGGAAAGGAACAGACTCGCGGGAAAGCACGATCTGGAATCCGGCAAAGCTCACCTTCTTGAGGTCGCCCAATTTCACGTGACTTGGAGTACAATAGAGTACCCTCACTTTCTTGTTGAGATCGAGATGGGGCTGAGCTTGGGGCAGTCGAAACGCTTGACGCGCCCAATCCCCACGACCAATGCCTTGCCTTGGTCGCTCCGGATGTATTGTGTGCCGTACAATAACGGTGATGACGCTTGACTAATCCTGAACTTGTCGGTGACCCCCCCTCCTCTCTCTCCGATTCCGATACAACCTATTACAGCTCGATGAAAGTCCCGGAGAACCAAGCGACCAACCTGTCCTCAGTGAGGCGGAAAGCCGGATCGAGCAGGTGCATGTTCCTCTTGTTTGGCTTTACAAGCGTGTGGCTTCGAAGGCGTGCATCAGCGTGCAAGTGGGTCCTTGAAACAGATCCACCAGTCAACATTCCACAGAACACACAATGGTGGAACGAGAGCAAGCGACCGTTGCGTCCTCTGACTCGCCCCACCTCCCGTTGCCTGCGCAATGCACGGCAATTCATCGCACTTGCCATGATTGTTGAGAACTGGGTATCAAGTCCAGCAGAGCGTACTAAGGCCGGCACTAGTGGACAACCGCTGTATCAAAGCAAGAGCAAGCGCCTGTTATATTTTTGCACCTTTGTGTGAAGGGCGCCCGAAGCATCCCCCCCAACATATCTCCCCCTCCCCTGACCCAATGGAGCCCCTTCCCCCGCACTTCACTTTCGACTGCCACCCTCCTACCGTAGATGAAAGCCGCCGATACAACGCTATTCTTGACCTTTGCGCTGTCGAGGCCGCTCATGAGGGCAACCGCAAAGCAGGATACAACCGTGTCAGTGGGCGACGTGTTCGTCCCCAGTGACGTTGGTCCCCGGTACGTGTTTGTGCGTGGCATGCACTCGAGGTTGCCTCACGTCTACGAAGATTTACGGCGATTCTACTGCATTCATAGTGACAGATCCTGCATCATACCGAAAACGAATTAATCTTACAAGTGATGGCCAAGGTATGTTTTTCTCTCTCCACTCCCTCGACCCCCCACCATGTCGTGCCAATCAAGTCTTGGGCGCGCGGGGTGTTGAAGCAGCAGCCACCTTTACCCTAAAGCACATGTATAGCTTGTTTAGGGTAGGGTGCAGCTACAGCGCAACGCTTGAGGCTCTTACCCTGAAAACGGCTTCCTTGGGGAGATCTAAGGGTCAGGCCATCCTTGGGGTCTCGATTTGCGGAATTACAACTTGCACGCAGCGCTTCAACACCTTCCCAACCGAAAACCGTAAGCCAGGCCGCTTGTTTGAGTGAACCTAGACGACACTGGCCGGGCGCATTCTTGCCCCACGTAGTACCGGCGTTGAAAATTGTGATTTTTGCCATCCCCACTTAGATTGTTGATTGCCGGCGAGTAATTATTCCCAGGGTAGCCCTGGACTTATGGCCACCGAATTATTTAGTCGCCTTTTGTTTTTCTTTTCGTTTCAAAGGCGGTTATCCGATGGGCGATTTATTCCGAATCTGTCTCGCAAATCAGAACAAGTGGTCATCAATTGCGAATATCGCGTCTTGCCGCACCGAAAATCAGCGCTACAGTCTCAACAAACCAACGGTCAATAGAGAGTTGTACCTTTAGTTGCTCGAACCGTCCGCATCTCTCTGTGTGTGCTTCTGCAGCAAGCCAGCTCGGGATGTTGACGTGGAGCTGAAACAAGAGCTGGACGAGTTCGTGCAGGCGTCGCTTGAGGAGTACGCCAAGCTGTTTCTAGAACCTGGTGCAGATGTGAGACGGGTTCGTCGAATCGACGGTACAGCATCCCTTGTTTTTTCATCATGGAGAAAATATCCACTCTTTGGAATGTGTGTGTCCCTTTCGTGCCATCGACCGCGCTTCTCGGCTGACCAATGAAAACACCTCAATTCGAGTTAGGTGTGTGTGTGTGTGTTTCGCTGTGCCGGGACGAAACGGAAAAAAGTGAGCCTGATCTTGAGACCTCGGTTGAGCCCCGTAAATCGGGCCGAGGGCGTGGCACACAACGACAATGTATCCGCAAACCTGCACAACCCTTCGCGCCCACGTCGCCACACCAGGAAGACACGCAAGATCTGTCGGCACAGGACCGAGAGAAGCATCTCTTCTACGCGCTCAACTCCGGCGGTCTGTACCACTCCTTCCTGGGGCGTCTTAAGCCGCGCGTGCAGAGGATCGTTCGCAAGAGGTTCGGTAGAATGAAACGAAACCCCACCGGGAGGTTGGATTTTTAGCCCCTTTGACCCACGTTTTGGTCCGCGTACAATCCTTCCCAGTGGTTCTGTTTCGGTATCTGCGGTGTGCTTACTGGCCATCCGCCCGAACCTACGCCCCCAATAGTCCAGTCCGGCTGCACTCGTGTAATAATCTGAGGCTAACAAGAATGACCCTTCGACGCATGGTTCCGGTTCAGGCCGAATCGCAGAATGTGTGCATACAAGACACGCAAAAGAAAGTTACAGCGAACTGACTTCTCTTGGGCCCACATTCTTTCATTTCTCAGGTTTGGTGCGGTCCCGGAAGACTCCGCGGAGGCAGACGCGTTCATATCTGACCTGTACGTACACCTTGTTGAGGAGGCGGCCGTGGTGCTCAACCACAGAATAAAGTGAGCCAATCGACACGAGCTGCACGACGCATAGGTGCCTGCTTACCCTTGTCGTACGAATCAAGCGCCATCTGGTCATCATGAAGCGATTGCCGATGGAGTTACGAAACACGGTAAAATTTTCGCGCACATTGCACAGGGAGCGACGTGGCATATTCCTACTTTATTCATCTGCGTAGGCCTTTCCCTCCTGGGTGTGGGACTCGTTGTACGTTTCAAGGGTGAACATGATCTCCTCTAGCTGTCCGGTCAGGCCCACCACGCGGGCCGTTACTAGAGGAAACTCATCCGCGAATAGTATTGTCTACCAAAAATTCTAGCTGCAGTACACAGCCCCCGGCACTCTCCGTCCGGCACACTGGCCAGCACAATACGGCCATCAAAAATGACCACCACCAATAGCCGACCAATGACAAACTGCCAAACACTACGATGGCAGGAACGTCGAGACCAAGGCCACTCCGTCGTACATCACGGCCGATGCCGACAAGTCTCTCGAGTTGAAGGTGGAACACCTAGGCATGCTCGCAGATGACGCAGAGGCGCGCGGCGCTCGAGAGGAGGCTACGGCGAGACACGAAGATCGGATTGAGGCTGCGACGGAAGCGGCAGCGGAGCTTGAAGGTGCAAAAGATCGTGCTCTGCGTATGGTCTTGACTCACATGTGCACACGTTCTGCGCAGCTGAGTTTCGTGTAGTCAGACGCTTGGCGTGATCATACCATTTTGTCACCAAATATCTACCGGTCGATGCTGTTTGAAGGAGCAACATAGCCTACGGTTCAAAAACGACCGATTTCAGGAGAACCTGACGCAGGTGCTACAAAACACCCCTTTTCTCACCTCCCCCTCCCAAAAACATCAATAACACAACACAGAGTGGAGACCACTCCTAGCGCGATCCTGGGAGAAATACGCTCTTTTCTCTCTCCGGCGTAACCGCACCGGACAGCATCAGCAACACACACAAGAGGCAGTGCCTAGTGCAAAGAACGGCAATGTGAGTACCATAGGGGACCGCGGTGGCGAGAGTCTAGACCACGCCGCACGGTGCTTGGAAGAATGCCTCCGCGTTTACCTGCCGGGGTCGGACGAATCCCTAGCGGCAGCGTCCGTGCTCGCGGCCGTATCGATGGAGCAAGGACAGCTCGACAGGGCGTGGGCGCTCATGGAGAAGGTGCTTGAACAGCGGCTTCCCAGCCTCAAGGAAGGAGCTGATGGGTGAGAGAAGAAGAAAGGTCTTCGTGCTCTCAATACGAATTTCGTATCCAGTCATGTTCACGAAGGCACAATTTGATATGGTACGATCGCGGCACGCCGGAGATTCCGCCTAGGCCGGAGGGGGGCACGCGCTTGGGCGGATGTCGTAGTTCACTATATACCCGCTGCCATTTTCGACTAATGTCACTCCATGCACGAATTATGTTCCAACTCGAGCGTGATACAGCATTGTTTACCGACAGCCTTTTATCCTAGCCACCGGCGGTTGTCCGTTCATGGCTATCCATCGTAGAAGGAAAAACACGTAGACGCGGCGTGCGCAAAGAACGGCAAGTATCAAGCCAGAACGTATCGCTGCACGCCCGTGTGTGTGCCTTTAGGTTTTGCATCGACCGCGCAAACCGGCTGACCAATGAAAAGACGTCAGCCTAAGTGCGGTTAAAAACACGAAACACTTGTACATGTTTGTGTTGTTGTCCCCACGTTCCAGGTATGAGACGGACGAGCTAGCGGGCCTTGTCCCGCGACGAGAACATGCCTTACGCTGCATCCTGAGAGACCTCATGGGCGACGCTTCCGGAGCGCGGCGCAGTCTGTTCTTGGCCGTTCAGTCGTCGAAGGGAGAAGGCGAGTGTGTACGAGAGGGAGGGGGTGGACGCATTGAAGTACCGACGACCTCTTACAATTTTCACGGTATCGGTGATGACAATGAGTCGTGTATCGGGGATGACGTTGTGCCTTCAGTACGTGTCCGACGAACGTTGGGTAGAGTCAGCAAAGACCGTCTACGAGAGCCACTTGCAACGAGGCTGTTGATGACGAAACTTGAGGAGAACAACGGCTTCACTCGGTTAAATTCATTCGTCTTCTTTTTCTTCCATCCTCGGACAGAGGCTAGGGGTGCCATTGGAGCCATCGTTTCCGACGACGAACCTGGGACACCCCGGAGAACCGCCGTGCGCGTCATGCACGACGCCTGCGCCTGGTTGCTGGAGCTCGGCTTACCGGGGATGGCTCGACGGGCGTTCATCGTGGCTGAGGAGAGCGAGCGGCTCGCGGTCAAGAAGGCGAAGGTGTGGGGCTTGAATCGGTTTTGTGCCCAACACGTTGTCCATGGAGCGTTGTGACTGCGCATCTGTTTGACGAACCCGTAGCAATATTGTGTGACACCTTGTCTCCTGCTTTTCAGTTCTTTGCCGTCGTCCGAGGAGGAGCAAGGGGCGTGGGCAAAAGTAACAAAAGGCTAGCAGAAGATATCTCCCACAGTGTCACGTGTCGAATCCCCAGAGGTGTATGTAGCGAAAGGGGCGATTTCTTTGGGAGTAAGAAACGGCAAGAGATCTCCCGGAAACCGTGCGTAATGTTGGCGCCAAGAACAGCAAGCGCAGACCCTAGCCCATGGCGTCCGACCAGCACGGAAGAACTTGAGCACGTTTCCAAGAGAAATGCTCCATTCCATGTCATTGGTGCTGCTGGAAGACGCAGTATATCCGTGCCGACCGTGAGAGCTGCGTCGACGTGTGTACCCTTCCTACATACCTCTCCACGAACCCGCCTGTTCTTGTACGCCATCATCGCCATGCATTCCATTAGATAGTGCATGCGTTTCAGCGACCTTCGTTCTGAATCAATGTCTCCGTGCAACCAGGAACGCGGTCTATCCGTCCGGACTCCTAGTGCCCTGCGCGAGTCTTCCCGCCGCCTCAAATGCTACCTCATCCTAGCCGACGCAGCAACGGCAGCCATAGCTGCAGACCCGGACAACAGCAACACGATCGCTTCTGCGGCACTTCCAGGCAAAGGAGGTTCGAGACCGAACGAAGACGCAGCAATCCAGGCAGCGGAACCAGCGCCAGCGGCTCTCGGCAAAGCATTCGGTGACCAAAAACAAGGAAGCGCATCTGAGGTCATGGCGATGGTGTATTGCGCGGTTGATGCGGAGAGGCTTGCGCAGGAAGCTGTGGAGCTCTCACCGGGAGATCCCAGGCCTTGGCAAGCCTTGGCGGAGGCTTGCGATGCCCAAGGTAGAGGAAAATAACCTTTGTTCGACAGGTGGCAACGTGCCAGGAATTGCTTCTTCTACTCCCTCGCTCCTGGTTGTCACGCCCTCTGTCTTATCCTGTTCATCTTGGAGTTAAATGTTTCGCACATCAATATTGAAGCGGAGAGGAGACGTCGCAGGGGACGCAATTTTCGAAGGGAGGGTTGAAACACCATCACCACCTACCTACAAATGCCCACAACACTAAGTAGCCAACCAAACGATGTTACAATCCTTTGTCCAACGGCCGTAGGTCTCATCAAAGCCACGGAGGCAGCAGACGCTTGGGCCGCGGTACTCGACCGCATGGAAACGGCGTGGAGGACCTCTTCGGCTAGCGGGGAAGAGCCGACATCTCCAACTCCTCCTCTGCGAGTCTACATGCGGTTAGGGTCGTTATACAACACTCTCGGCAGGGTCGAGGAGGCCAAGGTGGGGAACAGAGACCCCAAAAGTAAGGCAAAACGACCTTCCCCACAAGTTGGTGATAATGCCGAGTTCCGATGTGATCGCATGTACGAGCAACCCTTCCCGAAAAGATGATATTTTATCGGCCGTTGTGCCCGCCAATGTTGAATGCGTCGCCGGTTTGTCCAGGCGTGCTTTCTTCGGGCTTGCCGAGCGTGGCGGGCTCCCGGTCCGTGGCTCGGATGCGGAGCGGCTTGCATGCGGCTGGAGCAGTGGCAGGAGGCCGAAGATGCCATGCAACACGCCTCTCGCCTGGACTGCAACTCGTCGCTGGTGTGGGGGCACCTGGCTCTGCTGTTGCTGTCCATGGGCGAGGACAGGTATGGATGCTCTGACTCATGCGTCATTTTTTTGCATCCCGGGTTTGGCGCATCGAATCAGATCAGCATCTGAGATAAGCGCTTCATCACGCTTTTCATAAACAGGCGCGCAGATGCATTGACCAAATTGTGTTCTACTGCTGCGAGAAAACTAACTTCTTTCCAGTAGACCAGCCTTTGCGCCGAATGTGCCGGGGTCTTTTTCGTTTTCGTTCATCCGTGGTTAGGTTGACCTTGCACACGGATACCTGACGGACATTATCTTGTTCGTGGACACTTTCACGGACGTTCACAGACATCCACTTTGTGTCGTTTCTGCAATGGTGGAAGTTCTAGTGGTATGAGAAGGTTCCGGATGAATGCTTAACACGGTCTCAAATCGAAACATCCATACTGTTATTGATGTTGACCCTAATGTTGTGCATTCACCCTCTTCTCTGATTTTAAGTAGGATTTCCGTCGTATTGAATTATTTCGCCGACTTTATGGCGTCTCAGGGTCATCAAGAGTCGATCACATGGACTGGGTGGTTGTAGTGGTATAAACACTAGTAGCAATCCCTGAAGACCCTGGTGAAGACTCACTCGTTGATTCATCTCTTCGGACAGCAGCGCGTGCTGTTTCCTTGCTCTCTGGTAGACTGAGCATGTCAAGGTGGACCAGCTCCCTCCAACAGGGGCTACAAAGAACGCTCCTGTCCGTCGCCTTATGCTTTCATCGGGAGTTGCATCTCCCGCACTTTCCTCTGGGCATTATTAGCCCACACCACTGTCGGTACTTTCCCACACATTCAAACCCCAGTACAGGTTCCTAGGTTCCTGTGACCCGGATGAATGACGAAAAACAACAAAGTCGAGAACTCGATCCTATCCAATTGACGCAGTTTGAATTCCCAGGCTACAGGATGTAGTTGATGTGCTTCAAGTTTCGCATGTTCGGGATACTAAAAAAAGTCAAGCATTTGTGGCAGTATCGTACACAATACAAGTGAAACGACGTCCAGCCGTTGCCTCCAAACGGCGTAAGGCCCATCAACAAATGGTCTTTTTACGGGATTTATTGCGCAAAATGGACCAAAACCGTCATGAGCCGCTTCTTTTTTGTCATGGGCGACGTCGATGTGTATGTAGTGCGCCAGAATGTTCAAGTTCGAGAGATTTGGTACCTGCTGAACATGTATCATGTGATAGAACCACATTTTCTCGAGAAGCAACCTGGCATACCGCCAAGTTCGAAGACGGGTTTCGGTTTTGAGAACAAGAGCTACAAGGTAAATACCGCATCGCGTGATTCTCTGGGGTTCTCCAAGAGGAAGACAATTTTGGATGACGCCGCCACCGCCCTTCGTGAAAAAAACAGTTTTTTGGTTCATTATTTACAAGATTCTCCTCCGGAGAGGGTTTATTTATCATACAGGGGGCGAATATCATGCGATACGCGTGCTGCAAATCGGATACACTATTGGGGCCACGTCGAACGGAAATATTGAAACATTTATTTCGAAATGTCTTCACCATGTCATTTTCAAGCCTGTTTTTTGCGCTATTTCTGGTACGGTGAAGGCGACCATGCGATGTCACATACATGTCGTGGTGGGTGACTATTGCTAAGTAAGATGGAAAATGTCTTTACGGCCAAGTCGAGCTCGAAGTGACCATCTTCCCACATTGGCGGCCCAGTTCAATTCAAGATCCAATACCTCCTTCTCGACGCAGGCTTCAGGAAGCCGACCGCGCGCTGTCACAGGCCCTCTGCCTGGGCCTCGCCGACTCGTCCCTTCTCCGCGAGATAGGCAACTGCTACGTCGCCGCTGGCCGGTTAGATGCGGCCGAGGAAGCGCTGCGAAAGTCCCTGGCTGCCGATGTCAATAGCCACGGCAACAGTGGCAACCCGCATACACGTAGATGCTTAGGCGACGTGCTCTCTGCCAGGAACTCTACGAGCCAGGTTCGTGCATACCTGGTAGCTCTCAAAGTGTCTGTGGTCCAATGCCCTCGCTGCCTTCACCCTTTGTTGGTCAAGAAGAGTGATGTAATCTTACTCATCAGATACACGCCTCTTACCGGAACTAGGCCACGAAGCACTTCGGCCAAGCAGCAACATGCCCCTTCCAATAAACATCAATCAATGTTGGTAACTAACGAGTGGCCGATGACCTGTCCCTGCCAGGCCGTGCAGGAGTATCGACGAGTGCTAGAATCTCCATCCACCGACGTGAACGATTCTGAACGGGAGGAAGTCTTGATGCGTTGTGGGAATCTCCTCCGCAAGATGGGGAGGGGCGACGAGATCGACCAGCTTCACCAGGAGGCGCTGTTCTCACGGCAGCAGCTCTTGGCGTGATTGATCTATGGGCCCCAGCTGTTATATTGCTGCAGCGCAGAGTTCCATGGAGTCCATTGCCTTGAGATTCGTACACCTGTACAAGTCTCGTGGCCGGTAGGCATTTTTTTCCATGGTGGAAAGCATGTCACACAATGTCACAGTCCCTTACCAGGCAAGTACTCAAATGTCCCCCGGAATCGGCGGGATATGGTGTGTGGATCAGTGGTTCAAGGTTCACAAGATTCGCCAGGGAGGCGGCAGTAGCAAACATGTGGCGACAACACGCATCAGAGATGGAGAGTACGGACAACTCAGTCCCTGACAAATGAAAAACTGAAGTTTTCCGTTGCTGCTTGCACGGCCGTCCTTGCTAAAGGGTCAAAGGAAACGATGCTTACCAACTGTGGCAGGTGGCTGCCTGCGTTGGCAGGGAAATGGTATTGTGCTTCGCTCAGCTCATCGTCAGAAGCATGATATCTATGATAGATGCACAAAATTCAGATCGATCCTCGAATTTCCAGGACGCATGGCACGAAATCTTGAACCCCCTCCAGGAGTACCAGGTACCACGAATACACCCTCTGCGCCTTCTTTGGGAGAAATAGAGCGACAATACCAAGCCACCCGCCGCCCGTCGCCCGACCGAACACGAACAAATGATAAATAGTCGAACGAACCAAACAACCCTCGGCGAGTGCGTAGCAGCAGCGCTGCGTCACGCTCGTAGATATCTTGCCAAAACGTCACCGCCAGGCCCGGCGTGAGCAAAAATTCGCCGCATGTGCCGAACGGCTGCAACGTCAAGGGGACCAACCCACGTGTCCCCCTGAAACCTCAAACTATAGTACGGCATCCTCTCGATCCAAGACCGTCTCATGAGCAACCAGCTCTGTCACAACACAAGGCTTACCCGATTCATATCTTTGCACAAAATAGACCCGGAGGAAACGCCTGCTTCTCTAACTAAATCTTGTTGGATGCCACCGGCGTCCTATCCAGAAGCACCACACCCAAATACAGCGAGACATGAAGCTCCGGTCGATCATGCCCCCCTGCGCGAGAAGCAGCAGGCAGCCGCAGTAGCAGTCGTGGAAAGAAATGTGAGAGCGAACGGGACCAAGAAGCTCGTAAGAAGGAGAAGAAGTAACCGCCTTGGCGGTACTCGGACAGGAGTGGCAAGCTACCCTACATCGCAATCAGAGAGTGGGGGGAGATCCTACTCGGTGACGTTCGGTTACCAGGTACAGCCTGCGGCGCCCCAGACGAACAGGAAAACGCTCATTGCAAACAGTCACACGAGGGTCTGGGTGGAAAAATACAGCAGTACAATCTGCCTAGAAAGGCTTTGGTCGGTGACCGGAAGGCCACGCACACGCACGCTGCACCAATGACGGAAGGGGCGTCGGTTCTCTCGCGTTAGTGCTTCGTGGGCGTTGCGTCCGACTTACAACGCATGGTCGACGGTCCCGGCCGTCCGTGCTGGACTACTATTCCTTGGGTGCCGGAACAATTTAGGCGGAAGCTGCACCCCCTTGTCACTCACTCTTCGACCTTCTTGAAGTCTCCCATCTTGGTCGTTGCCACGGGGGTCCCGAAGAACCGGAGGCTCGACAAGCAGCTCTGCTCCGCGCCGTTGTTGTCCGCGACGAAAATCTGACGAAAACAAGCCCGAAAACAACAACAGTTGTCGTAAAAATAGGCTGAATGCGCCAAACCGTGGTCTGGAAAACAGCATGCACCTGCATGGCGGACTATGGCCCAATGCGGGCGAGAAGCGTTGGCTACATAGTTCAATGTTAGAGCCCTACGGGAAAAGGGGCCATCCACTTCAACCTAACACGCTGCACACCGTAGCAGACGTGCCAATGGTCATGGAGCACCTGGAGCAGGTGTACAAACGACGGTTCATGGGAATGGAGGGAAACGGGTTCTTCTTGTAGGTATGGATATATTTCGAACACTTGGGAGGAACCCTTAAGGCTGAAACTCACCGAAAGGCCGGAGACCCTTTGAAACTTAACGAACTTCAGCACAGACGCTGAACCGGCCACCAAATCTTCCTTCGTTAGCTCCAACGTTTGCGCCGGCGCCATGTCGTCAGTGTCGCTGAATCCCATGCTGTTCCGGTTGAGGTAGAGTTTCACCGTCAACGGAGCCGTGTCTTGATTGGTTGGCCGACGGAGTGATCAGGCACAAGAGAAGAGGGATGGGGTGGGGTGGGAGTCAGACCTCTGGGTCGTAAGGGTTGCAGTCAGGAGAAGTCGTGCCCTCTGATGTTTGATCGTAACGCACTCAACCCGTACAAAACAATGGGAGGGGCGACGCAACAAACGTTTGCGAAGCTCTTTCGTGAACAGCCTCCAATTCGCATCACGGACAGTCAGCAGCCCAGAAAAGACGAGACAAATGCCACGGTTCCTCCATCAATGACATGATTTTTTCAACAACCATGTACGGCGCTTCGGGGAGACAATAAACCACACGCTGGGGGGTGCCACTTCCTATTACCCCTACAGGTGTGATTCGCCCGCCAAGCAACTCACCATCCGAAGGGGCGACGAAGTCTATCGAGTGTAGCTTCACAGTCTCCATGAAGCCCACGTGCAAGAGCAATTGCTCTTTTTCGCGTGAAGGGGTGATGCACCGGAACCACAGAACATTAAGAGTCGAGAAACCCCCGCCCCAGCAATCCAGGGTACCGGAGATGCACCGCAGGTCACCAGAGCAGCCGAAGGAACAATGTTGCCACGGCGGAATAACATCAGGTTGGAACATGCACCGCAGAGGAAGCGACGATGGTAGAAAGTGAATAACGAATAACCAGCGTTAAATCGCATGAACGAAAATGGGCATGGTACACGAGACCCCCGGCGATGTGAGGCTTCCTGAAAAACCACAAAGTCTCCGTCTGTTCTGTCCAACAGCTGACCCATCCTTGTCCGTTGCCTTGACGATTTAACCACAGGCTCGTCGCATCGTGCGGTACAGATTGGAGGGCGTAAGATACTACCTTAGTACCAATAATCTTTTGTGTATTCCAAAGATACGCGGAACAAAAGATGGCACGCAATTCTTACCATCGGCGTCCGACTGAAGCATCAGCCGGTCATCCCCCTGGAAGAGGTTTTCCCATGTTGCTCCCGACAGCTGATTGAGACAGTAACAATCGGCCCTGCGTAACAGAAAACAGCGCGAGACAACCCGGATATTCACACAGGAGTTCATTGAATGTACACATTTTGCTTCGTTATATTTGCTGGATTTTTCATAAGTCTTGTTGTTTGTGTGTGTGAGGGGAGTATTTTTGGTGTGTTTGGTTGTTTCTTTCTATTTCATTTTTGCAAGGACACGATTTGAGGCAAGAGAGGGCAGAAGAATGCTCAGGACGACATTTTAATGTGAACATTGCTAAAGACGGATGAGTTTGTCCATGAATACCGCCTGCTGTACACACGCACGAGAGGTGGTACGGCGGTAGGACAAAACAAACTTGTGTGATTGGTATGATGCCCCACGGCATGATGCTACCTCCCCGCTACGGCGCCCACTTCATTTCTCATCGTATGGTACTAGTCACGAGCGTCCACCTCTAAGTACACGTGTCTGTGCACTGCATATCTCGAATGTACCTCTATAGTTCCGGTACCGGAACTATAGAGGGTGAATTCTATATACTTCCGGGTCCCGCTATAGTTCCGGTATTATCGGCAATTCAAGACCGGAACTATAGCGGGACCACTACTGTAGCGCCTTTTTGAGCATGCGTCAAGAAAACGGAGGTGCTGCGTAAGCCATCTCGTGCGGTTGTCCAAGGTTCAATCTACTGATCCGAGTACCAGCCTGGTGTTGGCCTTGTAAAGATGCCTGGCCAAGGAAAGCAAGACGTGATCGCTGTATCGGAGTACCGTAAAGAACATCCTTGACCACAATCCGCTTTCTCCTCGGCTGATTTCTTCAAGAACAACGGGGAAGATTCCAAAGACTACAGTTAGGGGGGGGCGTATCCACCCCTCAGTCCCACAGTAAAATCACTCCACTGATGGGCCTCGATGATGGAAAGGAATGTGTGCGAGCATACCACTGCCTGCATTGCGCTGTCTCCTCATGCACCCACAGCTGCATGCTCAAAGCTTCAGACATAATCAGGACGCCATGTCCGGATGCCCACGCCATGTAGTCTCCCCCCGCTGATCAACAACGTTACGGTGACTGCTCAATAGGTGTTTGTTGCACCACACCAAGTATTCAATGCGAATGAGTTCAGCAGGCGGCAAGCAGCTATTGCTCCCAGCTCCCACTTGTGTCGTGAACCAGGTTGCTACGCATACTGCTGTTGTACGAGGCGGTCCAAGCGTTGCTCGAAAAGCGTCCATGTTGCTTCCAATGGGTGTAGTGCAAAAGAAAGGCCTCGTGCCCCTCCGTTGCCCCTTCAAGCGGCTCATAATTGAGCACCAAGTGATAAACTACGGTCGACAATCACTCGGACGTACAGTACATCTGCTGCCTCCTTACAGCGTACGGCAAGAAGCAGTCGGGCGGCATGGTGCCGCTCTAATCTGAGATTACTCACTTGCACACAAGGTCCGTGATGTCCCGTACTTCCAGATCGCTCGCCTTCGGGGCTGCTGCTCCCGCCGCAGCGGCACCCGCTCTGGATCAGAGACAGTTATCAACGGACGGAGAGCGAAAATCCTACGGTGGGCACAGCAGCAGCGTAATCGGGAGCATCAGCCTGGTTCGACGAGGTCGATTGGGTGCACCTTCTTCGTGTTCCTCAAATTTCGTCGTTGCAACACTCTCCTAACTGACAGTCTGCGCCGTCTATTTGACAGTCCTGGTAGCTGCTGTTGGTAACCACCCACCCTGCAGATATCATCTTCTGGTTCGTCTGAGTTGGAAGGCTCGGTAATCTCCTTCGGGCGGCTGCTGGCTGTGTCGGCGTGGCGCCGGTCTAGGCGAAGGCCGTCAAGGCCGTCAAGGCCGTGGCCTGGGGGGTCGACAGAAAGTCCTTTCGGATAAGCTAGTGGGTCCGACACAGAACCCAGCAAAATGATAGGTTCGTGAGGCGTTGTTGACATGAAACCGTCCACAATTTTCGTGATCTGACACCGCGCGTTACTTCGATGAGATGCCCTCGACAGACACATTCGAGAGCTACTACTTCCTCTCACAGGGGATTGCGTCGAACGTCGCATTGTCTGTAGCTACATATAAGCACACGTCTGAAGATACACTCAGCACGTCTTGAAGATGGTTCTCTGGTCGTTGTTGTTGCACAACTCACAGCAAGCAGTTCAGGGATTGTTTGTGTTCCTGTCTGTTCTCAGACGTCGAATACACAGTAGTATTAGTATGCGTATGTATGTATTATGTTGTATGCATAGTAACTGTAGTTTCCTGTTGACACGCCAGGTCGGCACGCCAGCAATGGGCGGTGTACCGACGACGTGACTTTGGGAGAAGAGAAGCGGATCCTACGACACCAGCAGTGTGTGCCTCTCGCGTTGGGACTGGTTATTATTATGTATGCGGCATTCGGAGTAAACTATATATACGGGAACTCCGCGTACATACGCGCGGTCAAAGAGTCTCGGCTTTACTGTTGTGAGTTGTCTGGGAACCCTGCCGACCCTTATTTCTTTCGTACAACAACAGTTAGTTCCGAAGTCTATGGACTACTCTATGGACGCAACAAGCAGTGTAGCGGATCCCGAGTTGATAGTGCCGTAATAGTATCATCCAACGCCGCTGACGTAAGGCTGGCGGCGTAGTAGTTTCCGGTGGCCACTATAGAGTAGCACTGCTCGCGTAGTTCCTGTTGCCATGGCGGCGGAAAAAAAAGTTTCAGAACCAGGGAGGGGGTCCCCGAAATGATCACGCTGAGGGTACCGAAAGAACCTCTCGTTGACAGGTCAAATGGATAGATAGATGGACACCCAGCCATCCCAGGTTCGGGGTTGTTGTTGTGCATCGTAGATTGGACGGGGCTTCAATATTTGATTGCGGGTCAAGCTTGGGCGGGTAGGCAACGTCTAAGCTCAAATTGATCGAGATGGTACATATTTCGCGTCGGAAGCACCTACCTACCTGATGCGTGCTCGTGTTTTATGCTTGAAACGGCCGATCACTAGCAGCTGAGACAACTTAACGCAGCAAGCACCAATCAAGCTCAAACTTGCTGAGGGTGTCTGAAGTCAGTAGTCTAGTAGTGAGTGGCCGATGGGATGATTTCTCCGTCCTCGGGTGTGTGGAGTAAAAACGTGTTATTTTTTCCGCGCGGTGAGGCCTGTCTGTAGAGATCGTAACGGTCTCTTTCTTGGAGGAGTGGTTCGGAAATCTGCAATAGGTCTTATCCTAGCGACGTCAAACGACGGAGGCTTTTTGGTTTTGAACCCTACTGCGCTGTAGTCGTTGGCATCGCAGCTTGGCCAACAGTGGTGGTTCTCTAAGAGATTTTGTTACTGTGGCTTTTTTTACCATGGTCCGGGACGGTGCGTAATAACGACGACGGTTGTTGGTTTTTGTGATGAAGGAAGCGCTAAGCAAAGTCGGACAACCATCGCCCTGAAGTTAGTACTCGATCTGATGTACGGAGCAAGACGATAGTTTGTGGCACACAACAACCAATCAACCCTGCGTGCAAAATCTATGCATGCGCGTCAGTTGCTGTTGTCATTCGCCTACATACAACGTTCGATGTCACACAGATCCATCCGTGGTGCACGGCTCAGGGACAGATGTCTATCTATCTATAATCTATACTGGTTATGCGTTCCGAAAAGAGAGTCATCAACGCATACGTACATGCGTCACACAACGCACACAGCTGCTGGTGGTGAGGGGTACCTATCTCCTAGTGCCTGCTGTGCCATTCCAGCGATAACCTACCCTACCCTACCCTTACTGCCTCTTACCGTCGTAGGTGTTAAGGTCTATCAGACGCCGGACTCGGCACAACACCTGACAGACAATTCTGGACTACCTCCAAGACGCTACAGGCCTATCCGGATCGAACGTCTATGGCACGTCTATTCAACAACAACAAACAGTTAGAAGCAGTTAGTTTTAGTTATTCTAATGCCATAGCCTACTCGCGTCATGAATTCAACTTCAATGTGTCATGCTCTGGAAGGTGCAGCCCTGCATGGCCCGGCTCAGTAGCCAAGCGACCGGGTTAACTTTCCTCGGAGAGGCTACCAGAGGGGGACACATCGCAGCCTCCCTCAGAGGTTGAACGAAACTTGGGTTCGATCAAGTGACCTGGTTGTCAATGGTAGAGTCATGTGGGCCGTGTACACTTATATAGCCTGGTTGTCAAAAGTGTGGTTATTTGGTCTGCGCCAACATGCCACATTTATTTCCAAAACGAATTGTTGAAAGAAACACGTTCATTTGTCTATTCTTGTCGGGTCGGCATCTTGTGACAACTGGGGTGTCTGCTAAATTATTGCTGATGCTGATACCATTCGAACTTAGGAAACGCTATGTTTGTCATGGATTTTTTCAACTCTCTACTTCTCTCGGTGTACCCGCACACGAGCGGGCAACTTCCTCTCAGCACCTGGTAGCTAGCAGTTGTCACAAGATGCCGACCCGACAAGAATAGACAAATGAACGTGTTTCTTTCAACAATTCGTTTTGGAAATAAATGTGGCATGTTGGGCGCAGACCAAATAACCACACTTTTGACAACCAGGCTATATAAGTGTACACGGCCCACAGGACTCTACCATTGACAACCAGGTCACTTGATCGAACCCAAGTTTCGTTCAACCTCTGAGGGAGGCTGCGATGTGTCCCCCTCTGGTAGCCTCTCCGAGGAAAGTTAACCCGGTCGCTTGGCTACTGAGCCGGGCCATGCAGGGCTGCACCTTCCAGAGCATGACACATTGAAGTTGAATTCATGACGCGAGTAGGCTATGGCATTAGAATAACTAAAACTAACTGCTTCTAACTGTTTGTTGTTGTTGAATAGACGTGCCATAGACGTTCGATCCGGATAGGCCTGTAGCGTCTTGGAGGTAGTCCAGAATTGTCTGTCAGGTGTTGTGCCGAGTCCGGCGTCTGATAGACCTTAACACCTACGACGGTAAGAGGCAGTAAGGGTAGGGTAGGGTAGGTTATCGCTGGAATGGCACAGCAGGCACTAGAAGATAGGTACCCCTCTACCACCAGCAGCATGCTTGTGTGACGTACGTACGTATGCGTTGATGACTCTCTTTTCGGAACGCATAACCAGTATAGATGATAGATAGACATCTATCTGTCCCTGATCCGTGTACCGCGGATCTGTGTGACATCGTTGTAGGCGAATGACAACAACAATTTACGCGCGCATGCATAGATTTTGCACGCAGGGTTGATTGGTTGTGTGCTAGTCAAACTATCGTCTCTGCTCCGTACATCAGATTGAGTACTACAGGGCGATGGTTGTCCGACTTTGCTTAGTGCTTCCTTAATCTCAAAACCAACCGTCGTCGTTGCGCACCGTCCCAGACCATGGCAGAAAAAGCAACAAGAATTTCTTAGAGGACCAGCACGGTTGCCCGAGGCAAGCTGCGATTCCAGTGGCTATACAAGATACGTATGGTGAAAGGAGTCGCCGACGAGCATTGCACGCGCGCATTTCAAAAACATTGGTATATTTCTGTCGAAAAGCGGGAGAATAATCTATGGCGGGACACGTGGCAGAGAGAGATGTGCCCCGAGCCCCTCTTTGGCAGGTTTGTCCTGGCCTCACAGTGGGTAATCCTGTATGCAGAATTGGCGGCGGGGCTCCAACTTGATGGCCGGTAGGCAACTATACGCGAAAAATATGTCGAGACCTACCCGGGATTGATGTGCTCCGACGAGAACGAAGTTAACAACAATTATGCTCGCGTAAAACAAACTGAAATCATCGGGACGCCGCGGGATATTGGATACTTCGGTGGGGAAGGTGGCAGTGGTGTGACCCATTCGTTGGCAGACTGGGTACGTAGACACATACTGTAGTCATCCCAGCGTCGAAAAAGAGGTTGCTCATCCTGTTGTAGATTGAACGGGGTATTAATTAGGTGGCAGCCAGTTGTATCTGTTGCTCAAATTGACCGAGATCGGAGCAATTTGGTGCCGGGAGCATCTGCTGCATGCCCGTGTTTCGTGCTTGAGACGTCCGCTCACCGACACAGGCAAAGGTTGGCGCAGTACGCATCAATTAAGCTTACACGTGCGGAGGGTGTCTAAAGATCTCGATCGTGTGATTTCTTGCGCTTCCGGTGTTCGGTTAAAAAAACCGCGTGGTTGGGAGCTTCCGAGTGAACGGCATCAGACAGAAACCGTTTTTTTACCGCTTCTTAGACCTCTAGAGACCGTAACCGTTTCTTAGAGGAACCGGAGGAAAAATGGTGGTGAAACCGCGTGTGTCGACTCTAGTTTCAACGACCGTGGATACTGGTCGGGGTGTGCATTTGAACGAACACAAGTTCGACCCCAATCCGATGACGTTCCGATTACTACGAGGTCTCCCAGAGACCAGAACCAACCGCATTTCGACAATCGTGGGTACCGCATACGACAGGTGACAACATACAACAAACGGTGCTGATAGTATTTACGGTCAACACGAGCGCAACGAAAAAAGCTCGTCTCAGATCAAGTAAGTGGGCAACACAAGATGCCACACAAAACCCACAACAACGAATACCGCCGGTGAAAATTGTTCCGAAGCCAAACTGTCACCGGGGTGTGTTTGCTTGTGCTGAATACCGCGTCATCACCAGTACCTGTTCCGACGTCATGCTACACGATATCGCTGAAGGGCACTCATCCGACCTCATACCATGCAAGTTGGGAATGCGGCGGTGGGGTAAATTCTTTTCGCCCAGCGGTAGGGTTCAACTACGTTGTGGGCATAGCCCTTTCCCAGCCTGGTGTCGAGGAAAAGTATATGCATATGCCTATTCATGCACGGGAAAATGGGTAGGTCCGCCAGCTTGGGGCAGGAGGCCTCATCCAATCCAATCTTTACATCACCAAGTGATCGGCAACGATCCCAACGGCACATCAGTGCTTTAAGAGGTAGCTGACCCATGCACTTTGAATCTTCGACATGCCACCAACAACGTATCCTCTCGCCCAGCTACAGAATGAGGGAAAAGGCCCAGGCACTGTGGATGTGCTGCTTCGAGAGTTGATCACTGGCCGCAGCAATGCGAGCTTCAACGTATCATCATCAGAATATCACGTCAGACGGGATCTACTGTACATTGTTTCAGGATAACGAGGTAAGCCTTTGAAGGCGTGCTTTCCTCTACAAAAAGGTGTCCCTAGCCAGTCCGCTGCGGAATGATTCTAAGGCGGGGATTCCCGGCACAAAGGTAGGTAAAACTTAAGGGGGAAGCGTCGCCATTCATTCCCAACCGGTGGGGGTCAAACGACAAAGCAGAACGTACTGCCACACCCATACGGTATCCTACCGAGCCCGAAGATATGGAACCTGCCCATATATTAAACCGTGCGCATGTGCGTGCTAGCTCCAAGGCTGGGTATTGAAGCCAGAGCTTCAGTCAAGAGGGCCGCCTGCCGGTTGATGACGTTGCTCCTCTGCCATTGGTCGAATACAACTTTTCGACCGTCGGCGCTGACTTTGGCGCTGTCAACGGCACCAGCCGGGGGTACTGAACAGATGACGAGGGTCGGGGCAGCAAAGAGCCGGCGCGAAGGGCGGCGCGAAAAGGTTGTTTGAGGAGCCACAATAGTTTGAAGTTCTGAGTGCTTTGGAGGAAGCGACGTCGACTGGGCGAAACGTATGTGGCGCCGAGACTTCTCGAAGCAATGGGTTTGAATGGAGGAAGCCACAGCGCTACCGGCGATCCATATTATTCACTCGTGCGACACAGCATCTAACAACAGCAGCACCCAACCTAATGGTGTTCGCATGTCAACCACGCCGCTGAAAGTACAAACCACAATCGCGACACACGGGTCTCAAGCTTGCAGTACGAGGTGAATAGCATGCCCCTCGTGCGCACGTGCTTCTACGCCAAACTGGACGAGATCGGGCACACTGTACCTTTGAGACACTAACGTTCCCGTCCGCCGACACCGAACCACTGCCCCCTCCACCTCCCCTCAGCAACCGCCCTTTCAGTCCCGGACCTCCCGAACCCCCCACATCGTCCGTCGTTCCCGTTCTCTCAAAGAGCAGTGGACCCTGAGGACCTTTCGGTGGAACGGTTCCGGGCTCGCCCGACGCCGAAGACGCCGTCGCCGATCCACGCGGGGCTATCTTTCCCGGGGTCATCACGGGTTGCGTCCGCCCTGGTGTCCTGGACGTCCCGATACCGTTAACACTGCTGCCGTCGCCGCCCCTGCCACCGCCCCTGCCCTGTTCGCCGTGACCGCTTCCACCGTTCTCGCCTCCGACTTCGACAACGCGATCGTTGCGGCCGCCCAGTCCCCCCGCGCCCGTGTACCACTCGTCGAGCCCTTTCGGTACCTGTGGGGTGCCGAAGCCTCCCAGTGGGCGGTTGCACGACAGACATTTCGAGCCGATCAGGACGTCTTTGTCGCTCGGGACCATGGACAAAATGGCCGTCGCGCGAGCCTGGTATGAGGAGGAATGAGGGAGAAGGGAGAAATGGGTTAGATAGGCCAAAGCAGAGAGATAGCAGGGCGGGAGGGACGACAACGCCGCAAAACAATACGCATGCATGACACCCTTAGAACACGAAGTACTTCGGTTAAAGTTTCTAGGTTCTACCGTTAGCGGAGTATCGGAACTGGCACGCCCGACACAAAGATAGCACATAATTGCACCTGTTCTAGCTCGATCTGAAGTCGTTTCATTGCGACCGAACTGTTCTGGTCCTTCCCGAGCACCCTGCCTAACCGTTGGAGTTTCGTCTGTTCGTTGGCCGACTTGTTGATTTTCAACGTCATGTCTTCGAGCGCCTTCTCGATCTCAGATGCGCCGGCCTTTGAACTAAGCTCTTTGCTAAGTCGCGAAAACAACCCTTGCATGGTTTCCACGGTGGTCCCAAGGTCCTATTTTTTCCGAGGGTTGGGTGCGCAAGGTAGCGTGCTTGTGGACGGACAGAGGAGGTGAGTTTGAGTGCCACGGGGGGGCGTGGGTGGAGCGTTATGCTATTCTATTTTGCTAGAGGGACTATAATGTGTGTCGCACGTTCCGTAGGAGCTTCGACAGGCACGGAGCATATATGCATGAGCACCCCCATGTGAGATTATCAGTCGTTTCTATCGATGATTTTCGCGATGGGTTCCATTCATCCAACAACCCCATGAGTTTGTTCATGCCTAAGGTCATTGTTGTATCATACGCGAATCAGCAGCAAAGGGAAAGCTGTTCGCGTGAAGACTGTACCGGTCTGCCTCACAGGAAATATAGCATCGACGAGTAACACCCCCCGAATGGGATGAACCGAATGCATCAATACGAAGAATAATGGAATCTCTGCCTCTTACTGCGATGGCCTGCGAGCGCTCTCTATCTGCATCCACTTCGCTTAGGACGAGATGCATCGTTCGTTGGAAGCCGGCAAGAGTGTTTTCCATCTCCCCCAGCTTTCCCTTCACGCTATCCACGGGTGCGCTGAGCTGCCGGATAACCGATTCCCGTTCCTTATCCGCGCGCTGAGCGACGTAGACCGTCAGGTCCTCCAGCGTCACGGAAAGTCGAATCTGTTTGTGCGCATACGATACATATTCATCGGGTTTTGCATGGTGTACCTTGATTTTCGCTATTCTGTCATTGTGCCGTTTAAGCTTTCTCGGAGGGCACCCAGGTGACTTGTGGGGCGCATTCCGTGTCAAAGTTGTGCGCACCCATGTCTTGAAAAGTGACAAGCGTGGAGTTGTGAAATGGTTTGGAGCTTCAGTCAAGTCGAAGCACACGCAAGTACCTACCGCAAGGTCTCCGGTGCCAACACAGTGGTTCAGTACGTTCGAGAGGGCCTTCAAGAGCACAACCATTCCTGCCGGAAAAGGCATTTTTTCCGAGGTGCCGTGTCTCGTATAGGTCAGGCAGTTGAGCTTGACCCACGCTTGAGGTGACGCGCCGCTCGTCGACGACTCTACCCCTTCGCTCCCACCATTTTCCCCCCCGCCTTCCTCCGCGGTGGCGCCTTCGGTGATCCCGCCCCCTCCTGCGAGGTTTGCTGTGACTAAGGCGGTAGCGGCTTCAGCGCTGGAGGTGCGACGGTGGTGCTTGGTATTTCCCCCGTCTTCCGCTCGACGTGCCTGCAGAACCTGAGCTTTGACGAAGGCGAAAAGCGTGGTGCCTAGGTCCGTCGCTCGGTCGGAAAAATGCTGAGGAGCAAACAAATATACGGTACGAAAGGGTTGGAGTCAAACGCGGGCAGGGTGCTCGGGCCCGGCGGACATGTACTCGCTTTCTTCCCGTGCGTATTTTCACTCGGTTCCCTACTCACCTCCCTCTCCTCACCACCCTTCCGCCCCTCCTTTTCCCCAATGTAACTCTTCACCCACCATTGCCGCAGGGCTGTCCATGGCGATATCTTTGGCAAGCGTAGCGGGATCTCCAATCTCCTCCTCCAGCACCCTCGCCCTCTCTGAAATGTTCACCAAAAGGTGGCGGATAGCCCCCATACTGCGCAGCTTGTTGGCAGATACCTCGTTGCTGGATATTGCCTCGAGAGACGAGAGAAGCGAGCGAAGCTCCAGCTTCAGCTCAACGAGAGCCTTGTGAACGACCTTGCTCTTTTCGTCGACGGCGTTGGAATCTAGGCGCGCGAGAAGCTAGAGAACGTGAGCGCGCGAACGAGTGCAAAGGCAATGGGGGCCAAGCCGTTAAGCAGAGCAGTGAGTTCCACTTTCCCATGGTTACAAAGTCACGGGAAATCACGATATCTTTCCTCGACGCCTCGCCTTGGTGCACACATATGGTGGATGCCTGAAAACCAATTTCGAAGAGGAGAGCTGCTTTTGGTCAATCGCGGTACCATGCCCTGGTGATCGCTGCTGTTACATCAACCGACAACAACTGAGTCGAGCGACTCATGTTATAGGGAACGCGGGGATTCGGTGGCTGTCTTCGCTGATAGTCCTCATGAGACGAACAACAGCTCAGCAAAAGTAGAACAAACCACCCGGTGAAGCGATGCTGAAGAAAATGCGTCACAAACGAATGTCGCTCATTTCCTTGTACAGGGGACTCACCCTGTTGATCGCATCGGCGTTTTGTTGCGCCTGTTTCAGAAACCTTCGGTTGTATTCCTCATCCTTGGCAGCTATCAAGGCCTCAAGCTCTTCCAGTGAAATCTCGGTGCGCTTCTCCTGGTCCTCCACACGATCTCGAACGGCAATGATCTCTCGCTGCAGCTTCCCTAGGTCTCGCCCCATTTGGCTGCTTTCTTCACTCGGCCTCTCTAGTGACATACTTTGAGCTACGGGCTGGCAAAGTACGTACCGGGTGGACAAAGGCGGCGGTGATGATGTTCGTTCGGGCCTTGGATGCATGGTTTATCGTTGAACCCTTACACAGCAGTTGTTGACGAAATATTTTGTCTTCGGCAGCAACATGTTGTGGCGTCTTATTGAGAAGGCTTGTTGTTGTGTATGCTCTAGGCTAGGGGGGGCACCAGGCCTGCTACCTCTTCCTGACCTGTGGACCCGAATGCTGCTGTTTTGGGTGCGCGTACTCGTCGGAATCCAGGGCCGCCTTGGCCTGGTGGTCCCTGCTGTGTGGATCGTTGTGGTGTGATTTGTTGACGTCCTCCTGTCCGACTCTTCGCGCTTGCCTTTGCCCATCCCAACCCGCTTCCAGGCTCATCAATTGATGTTGAAGGTTCTCCAGCTCGGTCTCTTGGCTCTGGAGTTGCCTACCGTTAGCAAATTCACGCTGAGGGTGTCAGGTCGGAGGGACTGAAATTACAGACGAATGCCGCCGATAAGATTAACGTAGCGCACCGGCTGAAATCGACCGTGAAGCGTCGTTAAGGACAGCGACGACGGTTTGCCAAGTGCTGGTCCTCGACGACGGTAAAATTCACCCAAAAACTATTTTTTTCTCTAAGACGGATAGTACCGTGCGTGGTGACTTTTTCCTTCGGGTTAGGGTTATATTGCTGTAATCGCCCGTAAGGGTGAAGGTCGGCGGAATCTGCTATGTTGATATGCGTGTGGGTGTGTGAGGATGTTGGGGAGGTTCAATCGAGATATTTTCCTTTAGGCGGAGTCCGGCATATGCGGTGTTTACCGCAGCAAGGAACTCTATCGAATGGTACATAAGCCTCCATCCCTTCTTGGCAGCAGAGACCCGGTCAAGCGACTCACCCCTTTCGTCGACAGCGCATGGACTTAGAGGTATCCTCGCTTCATATCCCAGGCCAAATGTTCCTCCAGTAGTTACTTCAATCCATTGATCGACCAACTAACCATCCACCCATCCACCTCTATTCCACTCCTCTCACATTGCCATTGATGTAAACATGAGCACCGGATTCCCTCCCATAGCTCCGTCGAACATTCCTTGCACCCCACCAGATGATTCTCGTTTCTGGCGCGAGTGAAAGGGCAGAGAGCAGTTGGTGTTAGATTTGCTACGACTCTATGGCACGCACGTAGTTGATTGATCGTTGTAGAGCGCACATCCTTAGGTTGGTGTTGTGTTGTGTTGTGTTGTTGTTGTTGTTGTTGTTGTTTTCGTCCTATTTATTTTGGCGACAGTCCCCCCATTTTTCGTGGGGAGACGCGTACTACACTTTTCAGTGCATCTAGAGTACTGCACGTTTCGGTGTATTTTTTCGTACAACTACAACCATCCAGGGTCATACAGGAGGGGGTAAACACCAAGGCTTTTTTCTTCTTAGTCCTCAAGCAAACCCGGACTATCCGCGCGTGCAACGAATACTTGAACGTAGGGAACCGCTTAGATATCGTGACTTTGCCTCGAAAGTAGTGATGATCCTCCAGCAGTTTTTCGACCATTCTCCACTTGCAGAACACAGTGCCGACCAGAACGGCGAACTCTCTAGCTGTATCATTGGGACCAAAGATTCAACTCCACACCGAATGAAAATAACCCAGGTCATATTCGCCGGAGAGGGAGAACGCCCGCCCTCGGCTCTGATCCCAATCTGAGAACAGGGCCTGCCCTGTATTGGGGCCTTTCGACCCTTGTATCCCATTATCCTTAACAAAGGAAAGGTCGTGGGTTCGAATCTCAGCACGTGTGATGTCTTTTTTCGCCAGATAAATACATTGATATCTGGCGACGCAAACACCAAGATCCATCTGAAATGAAGCTGGCAGCGCTGATTATTTCTCGTCTACAGGATAGCCCCCTCAACATTGACAGAAAAGTAGATGATGATCGTACCTTGTCGCGCGATTACAGCAGCCCTTACCATCTATTTCCGCGTGGTGGGCATAGCAAAAGAATCTCTCTTATGGTTCAGTGCGTGACCTCGCAAGAATTTCGACTGTTGGTTGTGTGGGTTCGCACCTCTCAGGCGTGATCCACCCGCAATTCAGGCGCGGATTGAGCACTTGTGAAATACACGCAATAAAGTATGAAGAAACAGCTGAACCTGCTCGCAGTAGTTTAGATTAAAGGCAAACGCTATTGCAGGAGGAAAAGTGGATAAACCTATCTGCTCTGTTTACCTCGCTGTGACCCCAGCTGGTGCATCCAACACATACGGAATGTGTTGACTGGCGCCCAGATCATACGGGACGAAAGCACACACATCATACATGTAAGGCTGGTTTGGACTTGCAGATCTCCCAACAAATGGTGAAGGTAGGTCTGTACGTTTGGTGACGCACCGTGGTTTGTGGCAGATAATTTTGTCGCATACCCCGGCGGTGATGATGTAGAACAGATCATGATTGGTGAGTCCTGAAACCGTGCGGTATTGAGGAGCTGCTTCGTAGCAGACTTGCGACCGCGAAACTCGCACGCTTGTCGGCAGGAGTTCTGAACTACTGCTCCACATGACTTGATGAAAACGTTTTTCAACATGGTAAATATGCGTAGCTGAGGCAACAGCAACAACAACGGCGCCTTAGACTTTTCCGTGCACCAACCGAGGGGCGACGTTAGGACTTTGCAAACGATCGCCCTCAAAGTTCTGGAGCTTCGCAGGCGGTGTAGTTGGTATAGGGGGCTTTTTCAAAGAGGAATATTTACCTTGTTATCCTTGTGATGACTATGGTGGTCTTTGTAGTGCGAAGAGGCCGAGGACCCATGCCGATCCTTGCGCTCTCCTTTCTTTGACAGTTCTACATCTCTCCTTGTGATCTCGTTCGGAGCATCAGCCAGAGTGGGCTCCTTAATATTGCTCACTCTCGGCTTGGTGCCCGCGCGCTTGCGGGCTTTCTGGGGCCGCTGTCCACGTCGTCCTTCAGAATGCGCACCTGCTGATGATACTTTTCCTGCTATGGTGCTAGCGCCTTTGGGTCTATCATCGTCTCCGGCAGTGCCACCTCCTGCTTTCGCGACTGGAGTTCCTGCATTCCTTTCTAGTCGCGGGTCTTGCTCGATCTCTTCGAAACCTTCATCTTCGGGACCCGCAACAGCAGTGAGGTTGGAGGGGTCCCAATGAGAACCCGAGGACGAACCGCGCTTTTGCCGGCTTGGAAACTCCCCCCCCCCCGCGCTAGACTCGTCCGAATTTTGCCGATGTGGGCTCTCCGTTGAAGTTGTATATGTCTCTCCGTGTGATGGCCCCCTTGCCGCGTCTTCAGCTGAACATGGCAGGGAAGAGTTGTCGTCATCATTTGCCGCCTGCCGATGCCGAACTTCCCGTTCTAGCTCTGTCTTATTGCTCTCCTTCTCGTCACTGCTGTCGATGTCCAGTATCTCGCTTCCTGCTTCGCGACACGTGTTTTCGGATACAAGTGGGTTCGAAGAATAGAATGTACGGAATTGAGGGATACGTGACACACCAACAATGATTCGATGACGAGTTCAGTTGAGATGTCGGTCAGGCTGAAACTCTGTCGAGGGCTCAGTGCCATTCAGAAAACCTCCACCTTGCAGCGAAGAATTGCTTGTTTCCGACGAATTGCTTGCCCAGTCCAGCTTGGTGACAAGCATGTCCCTCCACCAGTTTTGAAGAGTGATCACGGCACACTCCACAGGATCATCTCTGCGAGATCCGAAAAAATAGAAAAGTCGCATCTGATGAATCCACGGCACTGCGCTAATGTTCGCCTATGGTAAGTGAGTGATGGGCGAGATGACCTATCTTTCATGATGTCCACAATACTCCGCGAAAGCCAGAGCCTAAACAGGTATGATGTAAAATTTTCTAAAAATCGTCGACGCTGTGTTCCCTTCCTGTGCATTGCTAGCTTAAAACAACCTATCGGGGTCAGTCGCAGAAGAACCCAGGATCCGAGGAAATATTTCTTGTGAACCCGACACAAGAGAACATGAATAAACGTACATATCAGAGGGCTTGTAGCTCTTTCTGTTGAGGATGCTCATCCACACTTCGATGACCCTTTGTCCCTTGTTCATGTCCCACATCCCTTGAAGCTTGACTAGGTCCTTCTCCAGGACGGCCACTCGATGCGTGAGGAACACCAAGTCCTCGTTGGAAACGGCCGGAGGCTCTGCTTGATCGAAAATTCAAGCGGTGAGGAAGCGACAATTTCCTTTGCTCAGTTGTGGAAGCCATCGCTTCATTTCTACGTGCACCAACGTGCATAGCAGATTTGCTTCGTGGGTGCGCATGCGTCTAGAATATACAGAGCTCCTGAAACTGCACCTCCCCAACCCCTCTTCGAAAAATGCCAACAAGGATGGTTGTCACTGAAAACACGAACCTGTCGGGCCCTTTCACATGGCGATTAGTGTACGAGGGCGTGCCGTTGTCAACCGTAGAGCGGTGAATGTTGACCGATGTTAATGACAGAGTGGCCAAAGAATGCAAGCACGCCATATCGTCACTCACAACAGACCGACGCTGGCCCGACGGCTGGTTTCGCACCTTGTTCATGCGCCTCGTCAGATCGATTGTTGTGCCATTCCTCGATATCATGCTCGACAAGAGCCGAACGATCCACGTCGCTCTGCTCAGGGGCTCCAACAGCAATCGTTTCATCTTCCCTAGCAACTCCCGCGTCAAGGTTTTCACCAGAAGCTCCCGTCAAGTTCGCGGTATTGGCGCTAGTATTTGCCCTGCGCGCGAAGTTCTCCGCCTTTCGCTTGGCCGCTGCTTTCCGACTCATGTCTGCGACCTCCGACTTCCAGGCCATCATCATCTCCACCTGTTTGCCAAGTTTGGCGATTGACGACTGCTGCTTTGAGGCAAGCGCTCCGACTACTCGCTCCAAAGCGTCCACCTCGGCCAGCTGCGCTTGTCGGATGTCGTCCATGCGTGGCGCCCATGGGACCTCTTCAGGTGGTGGGTCTTCCATGACTTCCGCTGCTCCTGTGAGTGCAATCATTGGCGGAGCGACAGCTACAGGGGGTCCAAGAGGTGTATGCGTTGCCTCTTTCAAAGGCTACCATGACATAAAACCTACCCAATGAGAACACGCCCTCTCGAGGGCGCTTACATCGAGGAAAAATGAGAAACACTGCTGTCATACCACTTGAATTCCGCCGCAGGCGCGACATTTTCCGCCAAACGGCACAGGTTGCGGCGCCGGTTCAACCATTTGCCAAGCCACCTACTTGATGTAGTACTAAGTAGGTGTCGCGACATCCGAACGCCCCAGCATCTCGCCACGCGACCATTTGAGGGCATACGGTGTGACGAACGGCTTCTGAAGAGGCTCAGGGCCGTACACCGTCGACCATAGCCACGAGACTACATATGCGATGTCACAATGGCAGGTGAGGCAGATCTACAGCAGTACAGTGTACAAGCAGTAGTACGGAATCTGTGACGGAATAAAAAATGTCCAAAATGAATGCGTGTACTGTAGCGTCACTGATTCATCAGCGCAACAACTACAGTACATGTAATACGATGTATCTCATATCCATCTCACCCTTGCACACGTATTGAAGTACTACTGCTGTACATGGCTGGCCTAACGTGCGTGTGGTCGTTGGGTGTGTGTACGACAGCCGTATGTAGACTACAGTAGTCTACGCATGCAATTTGGGGCAGCAGACGCAATTGGTCAGTTTACGCCGACGGGAGTATAGACTAGAACCCAACGAGGGCGGTCGACAAGGACAAGACCTTGACTGAGAAGAGTTTGGCTGGCAACATCAGGGGAAAAGTTTCTTCGATTGGGTGTCTTTCTCAGGTTGGTCGGTGGCCGGTCTACTACAGTCGGGGAAAAGTCTCATCGGTGGGTCTCTCATTCATTCTTGACTCACCACTAACAACACCAACACCAATACCAACGCAATCACCACGCCATACTATCTCATATCCATCTCACGCTCGCACGCGTATTCAAGTACTACTGCTGAACATGGCTGGCCAAACGACCAGCGGGTATGTGGTCGTGGGGTGTCAATAATCAAACTTTGCACTATCTTCAGCACGCATATTTGGGACCGACCAGATATTAATAGGCCGGATAGCGCCACTTCTTTGGACACTGGAGACCACAAATATATTGTTTGGGTGGGTTCTTATTAATTTTCAGTTTTGGGGACGTAAGCTGCTGTACCTTTAGTTACATAGTCCACCTGTTGTACGTAGGCCTACATCGACCGGCCCACGTCCGGTTGCCCACAGGCGTCTCAACTAAATCGACTGTCGTGAACGACTTCAAAGCATCCCTTTGAGGACGGTCTCGAGAAGCAGGCCTTGAGCAGGGGGTCTTCGGAAAATGGAGCACACCGTTTGTGAAAGAACTGGTTGAAATTCTGGATGGGTCACTGCTAGGAGACATATACGGTGGATACGCGTCCCGAGGTGTGCAGGATGATTTATTGTTCCAAAGTAGGGGGAATGCTATACTTCAACTAGCGAGAGTGAGCAAAAGGCACGCCGTTTGTGGTGGTATATTTAGACAAATTCTACATTTGCATCAAGCTTCTCTCTGCTTGTTCCACATAATGCAGCTCCACAAGACAGAGATTGCCAGTTCCGAGGTTCAACAAACCTACCAGGAGACCAACCTCCATCTCTTCGCGGAGAACGGTGAGTGCGGTGCTTGATTGGCCCTGGACCATTGCTGCTTCTTGAAGCCACTTGAGAACCTTCAGACTACAGCCTATTTGTATGCGGGGGAGGATCCTCGCAGTAGGGCAGATTGTGTGCGGCTTGTGAAGACTGTTGCTTCGAAGACTAGACTAGACTACACCGCGCAGGAATACTATGACTACTGCAGTGAGCTCAAGCTTCACCGTTGTCGACCCAAAGAAGAGTAGACAGCTATGCTGGCAGACTGAGCGGTAATAATGAGTATCACGCAGAAACTGCGGCATGGAGGTTACAAGTCGCGTTTGTTGGGCTACAATAGGCAATCTGGCGGAGGTTCAACGCTGCCTCGCCGACGGGGAGATGGTGGACAAGAGGAACACGAGGCGGCAAACGGCGCTACACAGTGCCTGCCTCGGGGGCCATCATGAAGTTGCCGACATCCTGATGAAACGGTAAGTGGCTTTTCGGAGCGCCAGGATACGTCTATCGTTATCTTATTGAAAGGGTGCGCGCAGTGCTGAATAGCTGTATGGTTGAGCAGCTTAGGTGCCAAATTTTGTTAGGAACGGTGGCGCGCAAGCTCCCGGTGGCGGGTGCGTCGTGTTGCACGTACAAAGAGAACAAGTCGGTGCATTAGCGTATTCGACCTCATAACAGGTCCGCTGCGGCGGACGGACGGCTGCATTCGACCACTCGCAGTGCAACGGCGAAACCTTCCATTTATTATATAACACCCGTTGTGCGACAATCGCCACGCTCATGCGGTCAGGAACACTTTCCGTGTTATCGTTCTGCGCATGTCGGACTCATCGGTTACGTCTGCGGGCGTTCTTCAGGGGTGCGGATATTACTGCCAAGGACGACCAGCTAGTTTCCATTTTGCATTGCGCAGCATCCGGAGGTGCGTGTTACCTTGCCCAGGACCACGGCAAGAGGATACAACGTAGACGACAATAACGTGTCGGAAAGCGCATGCTTAGAATGTGCTGCGCTGTATGCTTCTTCCATGTGCGGTTATCGCAGATATTCAGCCAGAGTCACGCTTCGAGAAGCCGAAGGCAAGCTTTGCACTCGAACTTGTCCATCTAGGACTATTTTGAACTGATTACTATTTTGGAGGTGTTGATAACGCAACCCTTGTACGTAGCGGGTGGTACGTTTGTCGAAAATTACAAGGGGCATAGTTTGTGGTTGCACAGAAAAATAGATCCACTTACCAAAACTCAGAAGGTCACGTCGATAAATGAATCTGTCCCATTCCCACGTGCATCCGTCGTGTCGAACATATATGATGGCAATCACCACACGTCCAGGAAACGACGATATTGTGCGCACTCTTTTGGCATCGGGAGTCGTGGTCAACGCACGGGACGACCGCTCCAGCACACCACTCCACGCAGCATGCATGCGCGGCCACATTTCTGTCATCAGGTAATTTGTTGGAGCGATAGGGAGAAATAAACAAGGCGCCACCTCAAGAACTTCTTGTATTCCCAGTACTCATTCTTTTTTCCACCGTTGGAATAACCCAACATGAACCTCATAGGTTTGTAGGATGGGATTCTCATCTGAATCGCTGTTCTTGGGGGTCACATTCTTAAGCATGGATGATGTTTAGCCCGGCGTTCTTCACTCCCATTTTTCTTCAGTGACTGCCCCTCGCCCCACGCAATCCGGGCACCACATGCACCAACAAGATTATATTGTTCGTATCCCAATTCGAGCATGTACGTGAGCACACGTAGTGCTGGAAGTGACCCTTGGAGGAACGAGAGAGATACTCCATGTCTGGAGGGGTGCTTGGTGAACATGGTCGATGACTCAACCACCGATGCGTGACAAATGAGTGCGCGGCCATGACTCCCTCCCGTATCGCACTGCTGTGCCCCTGGGAAACGCCTAAATACGTATTTTTCGTCCGTCTCACGCGGGCACCTACAATGAGGTTCATCATTCGTCCCCGACAGGTCCAAGCCGATGACGGGTCGGACTTTGCCGTGTTGCCTGGTGTTCTTTTGGTGATACATACCGTGTTTTTGGTTGAGAACACGGTGGCCGAGTTACCTAAGCCCGTGCAGGCTTGCGATCCATTCCCATCATGCATTCGCACCGGGTCCATTGCGCAGTACGGTTATTGATACAGACTTGGTGATCCAGAGTGCAAATTAAACCCGTGATTTTCTGCCGGAAAGAGTGATTATCTCAAGCACTTTGCCAAACAAAAAAATATCGGACTGTCTGAAAAGTGGTGGTTATCGAAGCTCCCGATCCGCGATTCGCCGGACAAACTATTTTGTTTTGCTTGGGAAACGTTCAACGTAGGAGGTCGATCACGAAACATGATATCTTTCACCTCACGCGGCGTGCACCCCTTCCGTTGTAGGCTCTTGGTGGAAGCCGGCGGAGACACTGTGGCTGTGGACTGCAAAAAGCGGTCACCGGGTGACGTTATTGGTAAATAACGAAGTTGTGACTGCCCTGAAGTCGGCGTTTCTCGAACCGTTGGTAGTTTCTCAGTAGTTTGAAGTGGGGGCACTTGAACCAATCGGAGTTTGTGATGTTTAGGCAGGAACCTTCCCTCGCGACTTATGAAGTCGATGTAGTTTACTAACAACGAGCTTTGTAGCGCGTCGCTTCCAACTTAGACGAGGATTTACTTAGTGAGAACAAAACTCACCTTGCCGGGACTCGAACCCATGACCTGGCCCTTAGTAGGCTGCGAGGGTACCCACTAGACCACCGGGGCGACCTGTTGAGGACCAGGCAGCAAATGCGTGTAGCGTAGGCATTGCCACGTGGGCTCTGTAACATGAATATGTTTACGGCAAACATCTGCTTGTATTGAAACATCAACCACATCTCGAGAGGAATGGGTTGGTTCCCCTCGAGTTTACTGCCTAGATGTGAGGCAGATGTAAGCTTCGACACTACAGATGAGATTGATTGTTTTCTACGAGTGGCCCCGAGAGCGAATGAGAACATGTGAAACGGCGCCTCGGAGTTATCGCGAGTAGGGGATGGAGTGTTTCAACAGAACAATACGACTGTCGGAGAAAAGTCTCCGAGGGAGTTTGGTTCTGAAGAGCAATGCTTGAACACACCAGGACGCACCGCGCCACTTTTTTTTTGTGGGTTGGGATATCATGGGCATTGGCCTCACCGGGTGTTGTGGGTTGGGATATCATGGGCATTGGCCTCGCCGGGTGCCGATTGTACAGGAACACCCACAGCGACATCAGAATTGCAACAAGTGGAAAAGGTAGCGAACATATAGGCAAGCATCGTTCTGTGGCAGGCGCGAGGGAATTAGAAAAGACACCGGCGAAAAATTGTCTCAGTGGATCAGGGGGAGGAGATCTTGAAACCGAAGCACTTCGCACTCCGGGGTGACCAGAAACTAAGGGAAAATCTCAGGTCATCGGGAGGGGAGGGTACAATTAGAGCTGATCGTATTTGGTTCAGTGCGTTTCGAACATGTTTCGATCTGCCCACATAATGGACTATAGACTTTGCCGCTTCTGTGGGGAGTTATTTGAGTTAAAGAATTGAAACGCTGCTCAACCTGGACCCCCAACACAGGTGAAATGGGTTATGTGAAGCACGATCTTGCCAAGGCGATCAGGACCGTCTTGAACTCCGCGTCTGGTGGTTTCCGAGAGCAAGCGGCCGACCTTAAGCGGGTGAGCGACCCCATAGATGTGACCGAATCGACATGTTCGTCTGTGCTATTGTTTCGCAAACATAAAATACCGTGGCTGATGTGCGAATCGGTCGTGATTCTGTCTTTTTTTTGCCCGGGACGGACCTTCTTTCTTCTTCACCGTTTGCTTGGTCGTTTTTTCTGAAGTGAAAACATGTCCCTCTCGAAGTGAGGAATCGAAACCGCATGCACCACCTCCAGCCTTAGCCCTTGTTTATGCGGGTTAGCAATTACCGTGATACAGGTTGGGTCAGGCCGTAGTTACGGAATCAACCGGTCTGCGGCATTGTCCATCTGAGTCAAGCTGAAATGGCATACCCGAAAGCCTCCCACTGCTCTCCATCCCCGATCAGCGCTGGCTGAGTAGGCGAACGACAAACGTTTCACCATCGAATTCTGTGGCGATGGGGTTGTGGGTAGAGAAATTACTGCACGACGTATCACATCAAACTTAGGAACCGGTCAAGCGTGCTTCCGCCATCCCAAGGTGTAAGGAAATTCAATCCCTTCCCACCACTTTCCTCGTATGCTCTGTATCCTTTCACTCCTTACACTCCCAGGAGAAAGAATCGCTGAAAGCGGAGGTAGAAACAATAACGAAGCGACTGCATGCAGCCGAGGGAGAACTGGAAAACGCTGATCAGGAAACCGCTCAGGTGCTCCGGCGTGTGGAAAATAAAAAACTATGGGAGGAACGGGTCCTACGTAGTATTTTTTGTCTTGATTTGTGACACATGTTCGGGGAGGCGGATGGCGTCGTGTGCTGAGATCTTGTCCATGTGAATTACTCCCTTCTAGCGTGTGGTACGCCGTGTCTGAATCCCACCCATATTCATTGTGAAACCAATGTGTCTCGTAGCTTGCACATCGCCTCATACTATGCTCGACGCATCCCGAAAATCACGGAATAAAACTGTTCCATGTTTAACGAGGTGAAATTCGGTCGTGGTGCGTCGTAACCCTCAATTCGTTCAATGATGGTACCGAAATATGCTTTCCGCTGAAGCCTTGTAAACTAAATGCGCTGGGTAATGTATCGATGTTCCACGTTGGGACCTGTAACCACCATGTATAGTGCCAATATTATTCACGATGGTGAATACTCGGGAGTAGTGTTGACCTCCCCATACCAATCGTTGGTATTTTTGTGAACTTTCGTCAGCTGAAAAATTTAGTCAAGAAGATGGAGGAAGAGATTCGTCAGCTACGGAGCGCTGCGAGCAAGGAGACTCAGAGGCGGAAGAAGAATAAGATCCCATGCACTATTTCTTAGTGCAAGTTGCATGCACTATTGCTTATTGCATGCTGTAGCCGGGTGTATTGGACTTTTGGAAAACCCAAACAGCGCACATGAACAGCAACTCTAGCTGCGTGTTGGTTGATTTACTCTGCTGTATCGTTAACCCGTAGCATCCATATTACTCAAGACACCTCACACATGTGCCTCTCCTCAAAGTGGGCGTTGCTGTAACCACCAGAGAAAGAGGGTAGAGCAGGTAGAGTACCAAGCATGGGAGATCATGGAGTCTCATGGGAATTTGAAGAAGTTGGAGTAGCTCTAGTACAATGGCTGTCTGGGGCACTTTTTCACATGCAGAGAGTGGCAGCTTTCGCGTTATATTTTCTTGGGTGTCTGAGCCCTAAGTGTTCGGTGAGGTCCAAGCCACCGCGACGTGGAAATATGGCTTCCGAAACGAACAGCTTTCAAGCAGGGACTGCGGAGGGTATCCAAAGCGGGCATCCTAATACCGGGAGAGCATGATCCATTCGGAGCCAGCTGTTCTAGGGAAACCGTTCTCGTTGGCCGACATCTTTGCACAACATAACTGTATGAGCATACCCTCATATCATACCCTTCGCAACTGCAAATGAGCATCCCGGTGAGGGGAGATGCCTTGAAACGAGGCCTACAAAAGTTCCTCAGCTTGGACAATGCCACGCATCTCTCAGCATCCGTTTCGAGTCTTGGAGGGTGCACCGATGGCTGATTTCCTGGATCAATTGTTGTGCCGCGAGGAACCATATTCGGAGCCGCACTTTTGCTCCCTAGGCCACAGCAGAGTAGACTCTCTGAAACACTCGTCCATGCGTGTATCATGAGCGATTCAGCCGAACCTTCGCCGGGCTATATGCCATCATCTGCGGAGTTTGTATGATGAATGTCACGTCCAAACGAAAGCGGGCCACAGGGCAAGATATGTTAGCTAATCAGCACACGGATTAGAACCACAGGCCAACCTGGTAGGTGCGATCCATGGGTCCCATCCGAAAGGGGAAAGGACGCACAACAATGGATTGGTCTTCGTTTTTCCTCCGTCAGCCATGCCACAACATGTGCATCGGTCGAGCAGGACAGGTAGCCGCACCCCGATACAACGGCGTCCGCTGCGTGTTACATATCCAGGCCCCGGTTCCAACCGTACACACTCGGAAGCACATACAGTTTCTCGGGTGCGGGCATTTGATGCCGGGATGCCCCGCCATACCGTGTCACTTGTGCTACAAGAAACAAGCAAGGTACACGGTTTCAGCACTTACAGGGGGAAAGCCCTTGCTTGTTCTCGATTGTATCGTCCGCCCCATTATTGATGAGGTATTCTCCCATCTTCCCGCTAGAGTCGTACGACATGGCGAAGTGAAGCGACGTGTTTCCTGTGGCGTTGCGATGGTTCACGTCCGCCCCACGCTGAACCAAGAACTCGACGACAGGCATCTTTGACCATTCCCACCGACAACACATACGGCAGCGACGAGAGCATCAGTCAAAGCAACGTGGGCAGCATGTGGGGGTGAGATATATTCTGGAAGGAAAGCATCGCCACGTATCAAAACGCCGCACCAGAACCTCAACAACACCGACAGCAAACAAAGAAACGGATCTCGGGCGGAAGGTTGTAACTGGTGCCCAACCTCCTCGGGGTTAGGTTGGGACGTTGGGGATCGACCTTGGACGACATGTAGTCTACGTTGGCAGATTGGACCAACGCCGCAATCCGTGATGCGTGGCTAGCTGCATACGTCGGCGTACAGCCTGACCCTCGGGAGATTGTGGGGCCGTTGTGCACCAGATACAACCTGCCTTGGCCACCCGTGATGGCATGCCACTGCGCTCACAGCATCGGAGTGAGTGGACGAATTCTTCAGGCTCAACAACATATTGCTCGAACACACTACGCAACTCTAAGGTCTTCAGCCACAGCACAGATACCTGTAGCTGCTGAACGGCAACGAGTAGAAGGGTGTTGCCCATAGAGTCTTCCGTGTTGATCTCGAAGCCCGAATTCAATGTCTCTTCCAGGCGCTTCTTCTTGCCATGTCTCGCCTGCGCGCCGAAGCGCACAAATCGCAAGCAGGAAGAGTTAGGATAAAAAATCGTTGCTATTGACAGATCGGTCACCCACCATGCCGTGGCTGCCGGTAAGCGACACGTTTGAGGCAGGCTTATCTCTATGCGAAGGACGAACGTCTACGGTATGCAGTCTCGTACTCTCTCCCGACGTTCAAAGAGTGGCGAGAGGCTCGACAGTGCGCCATCGTTGTCGTTGATAAATTGCGTACCTGAGAGAAGGCGGTGTCCACGTCGGGAATCTCTTCCCTTATGGACGTCGCCTGGTCCTCTCGTCTGACGCTGCTCGCCATCGACTGTTCGGCCGCGGAAAGGGGGGTGAGCTTCTGCCGTGCTAGCAGGAGCTTCTTGAGGTGGAGTTTGTGCTCCATTCCGATCGAGTCCATGAGGTCTGACTCCCGTAGCTCGCCCAGGAAGCTTCCATCGACCTGGTTAGTTTAGTCAGTTACAATGGCAGTGTTTGACGAAGGAGGTATGAATGGGTGTTGAGGTTGCGTGTCCTTGCCAACATGGCGCAAAGGTGAAATGCACCCTTCCACTTTGCACCTGTGGTTCGACACAGTCAGTTCTAACAGCCCGCCCATGGGATACTTCGCCGGCCCTTTGAAGCTGGAAACGAGGGTTGACAGCACTCCAGTGCATCTTCTCCTCTTCCCCCAGCAGCGAAAGGTTCATACGCATGATCTTCTTGACTCTCACTTTTCCCTCCCGGAATGCCTGCTTGTACTCTCCGAGCTGTAATGTGTCCAGCCACCGGCACACGTCGTCCACGGTCCACAAGCACAACTCTGTCGGGAAAGGATGCCGTTGGCTGTTGTCCGCCTCCTCGATCTCCGCTCTTGTAGATTTCACCTTCTCCTTGCGCACCGCCAGCGCTTTCGTAACTGCCAGGAGGAATGCGTAGGTGGGATAGGGCGTGTGCGTGTGTGAGAGGATGAATAGGGAAAGCGGTCTATCCGAGCGGCCATCGGAAATGAGCGGCCCTGTTCACTGCTCTGTGTCCCCGTTCCTTTGTCGCTTGTGATCATGCATATTCAAAGTGGAAAGACCTCCGTGTGACGCCATATTCCTTTCTTTTGGCTTTTTGTGAGGCTGAACCCGATTTTCTCTACACGTGCAGTCTCGAGAACTTGCTCTCACCGGCGTCGCCTCCTAGATCTCCAGTCTGCTTGAGTGAGGGGATGCTAGCAGCCGCTGCCGAGGCAGCCGCGGCCGCCGCGGCGTCCGCGCTGCCTGCGATAGCCGCCGTTGTAGTGTCCGCGTTGATGTCCCGCATCTAGTCGACGCCGAACGATGTCGATGGGAAACGAACAAAAAGGAAGAACAGAAAACATAAACCAGCAGTTGATAAAGTAGCAGCAACGATTGCTGGCGCTCTTGATGAAGGTGGTAGGCAACGACTGCGGGGCTATGGGGGAGGACGACCCCCACCAAATTGTAAGCACCTCGACAAAAGCAACTTCTGGTCAGATCTCTGAACGAATGATGCACTGAAAAACACAGATTGGCCTCCCATCTGTGTAGGAATTTAAACACAAGGCGCTCCAGCGGCTTCGCACTCTACAGATACATCCCCAACTTCAGCCTTTGGTAGCTACATTTTCAGCACAGGCGAGCGTTTCAGATGGAATAAATAAGCTCTTAGGTCGCACCTGCTTCATCATGTTGAGGCTACTAAAGTAGCTGAGTGACATGGACATGAACTGAAACTTCATCAGCTCCTCCGTCTGCCCGTACATAGCCGCCGCTTTGGCCTCGTGATCTCGGGCGCGTTGCGCGGTGGCGGCAGCCGCAGCAGCGCTGGTGGCAGCGGCCGTTTCTAGCTGGACCCCCTTCTCGCGAACGATGTCCAGCTCTCGCTTCTGCTCCGAAAGGAGCTCCATCAAGTTGCGCTGATGAGAAAGGAGGAGGAGGCGGAGGAGAGGGTGATAAGGTGCATTTGATACTATGTAGATCTCGGCACGCAACGCTTGCATGCCACCCATCTCAGCTAGGCTCAAAGAACTTTCAAAAACTGGATTGGTGTAAGCGGTTGGAGCCTAAGGCGGCGACAGTATTACACTGAAGTCCACTACTACGTTTTTCCAAACTGACCGCCCTGCCTACGTATCCCACAAGTCGGGTGACCTTTGCCCCTGTCGATCAAGCTTAGCTCCAAAACGAAATCCTCGTCCAATCGGAGACACCACAAAATCACCACAATCGATCGTGTACTGGGGAATACCTGCATGTGTCCAAACTCCCGTGACTTTCTTTGCCGCGTGGCCTCAATATCCGCCACGGCCGAACTTAGGCGATCCAGCTGCCGCTTCTTGTCGGAAACATCCGCAAAGGTCGACGCGAACTCAACGGATAGCTGCACGCGCCGCTGCTCCCGCTCCGCCCGCTTCAGCTGCAGCTGCATCTCCAAGGCGTACGCGTCCTCCTTCTTCAACTCCTTCTTCCCTCGCCCCTTCCTCCCTCCCCCTCTGCCACCACCGCTACCGCTACCGCTACCGAAGTCGTCGTCGTCGTCGTCGTCGTCGTCATCTCCATCGCCCCCCCCGCCGCCGCCGCCGTCCTTCGTACGCGGTCTCCCCGTTTTCGGGATGCCGGCAGCGCCCGTGATACCTCGCGATATCAGGTCTCGCTCGTGCGTCAGCTGCACGAGTTCTCTCTCGATATGGTCAATCTATAGAGAGAAGGGTGTGAAGGGCCGGAAGAGGAGAAGTGGTTTAAGCATGGCTCTCGATATGCAGAGAGACGGGTGCGGAGGGGGACGAAAGAGGAGGCCCGAGGGGTGTAGATGCAAGACCGGAACCAGGGCAAAGCGAGGGAAGTGCCTGTCCCCCATAGACACATCCAGTGTTGTCCTGCTAGTGAAATGGTGGATGATCTAATCTGTAGAGTGGCGATGTCCTGCCTTCTCGGGGGGAGCCGCTATTTCACAGTTTGGTGTGTTCGGAAGGATGCGCGTACGACGTGTGTCGTCGGTCGCAGACCCACCTGACCCAAAGTTTTGTCTCTTTCGGCTGAAGAGCTCCGATCCCCGTTCTCACAAAAATTCACTCCCACTTGTCCCTTCGAGGTTGACACATTTTCCTGCCCAATTACAACTGCAGCCAATTCAAACACCTTCCAGGACTAGTGTCGAGAAGCTCGGGGACTACCCCACGCACCTCCGCCATTTCCCTCTCTAGTACGCTTAGCTCCGACTCCGAGGCGGTGAGCTGATGGTGGATAGAGGACACGCGAGCTTCGGCTTTTTCTTGCGCCCGATTGAGAGCCGCAATCTCGCCTTGTTGTTTGACGAATGCCACCTGTTTTGCGATGTTGTCATGTTCTGCTTTATGTTCTGGTTTGAGCAACGGTCGCTGGATTGAAAAAAAACTATCGGAGAGTACGTCGTAGGCATGTGGACATGCGTAGAACGATGTTAGCCGCATAGCGAGCTGTGAGCCTGGAGACATGCAGATCGTAAAAGCAGATCTCACCCACAAGTAATGAGTGTGGCAGTACCGCTTAGGTTTGCGTCATCGTTCCGAACAGGTATTTTGTGCTAGGATGATGCTAGGACAGCATTAGCGGAGGCTCCATTGCTTTGCCGTCCCTGATAATGCCCCCGTGTTGATTTTCTCGATCGTGGGCGTATACACGAATGACTCCAGCGACGAAAATATATTGAATTGGAACCAATTATAGAACTTCTTTCGGAAGAACAGTGGTGGGCCATTCCCGATACTCTGTGCACTAACTTCAGACTTCGGCAATCGGATAGCACGACCATATTCTCGACCGTGCTCATAAAAAATCAGCATGTGACGACATTCTCGCCCGTGTTCGCAACAAAAACCGGCTTGAAGCATTCTGGGCAGAATAGCTCATCTCCGAGGTCGATGGTCGCTCGTTGACGCCGCGTTTGAGCTTACTCTAACACTAAAACACAACCTTGCGGGGGGGCCTCCTTCACTTCAGCCGCACACACACGAATCGTACGAATCGCGCCCCACCTTAGTGTCTTCGATCATGCGCAAACCCAGCTTCAGGCGTTCTGCGCCGGGCCCCGCCGACTGCCACTCCCGCCTCCGTCGGGTTGCCCGCCTCCCGAGGTGGCCGCGGTACATGCGCTGAATCTCGCGGCTAGCCAGCCAGGAGCACCGAGCCCGGAGGTAGCTGTCCCGCGCCATCTTCCCTCGCCAAGCCGACTGGAGCATGGTTGCTGACGATGCTCGGGCGGCAAACCGCGCCAGCAGCGCACGTTTGCGTGCCGCCACTCGTCTGGTGACACAGACGGGGTCGATGGTTAGAGTACACGGCATGACAAGGCGCAGGAGAACAGTGCATTGGTCGTGATGTCTCGCGGAAGTTTCACCGCCCGTCCGCGTTTCATGAACCCTCGTCCCCCGTTTTTGTGTTGTGCTGTTTTCTTCTGCGTACTGTCGTTGTCTCTACTTTTCGTGAGGGAAAGGGGCTGGATGAGGCTCTGTGGCGGAGGACTGTTAAGTGGAATTCAGGTCTCTTGTACTTTGACCCCTACCGCAATCTCATCGTTCTCAAACAATCGAACTTGCCCAAAGCCATCTTGCATATGGGGCAATGATCTACCTGTTGCCGTTGACCTTCACTACCAACCCTAGAATATCAAGCACGCGTGACGGAAGCAAACGATACTATTACTCGGCGGGAAAACGGGCCGTTAGGAAACCCTTCATCCGTCCCATTTTCACCTGCCAAGGAAACCGCGGGCCGCTTTTTGCAGCACCCGACACCGCACGTCCCTCAGCTTTTCGACGAACACCAACCGTCCGAGTCGGCCGCGGTACACTCTCTGTATCGTGGTAGCTCGACCCCCGAGGATGGTCTCGTCGAGAAGCTGCCGGCGTATGCGGCGTACCGATGTTCGCCTGAGGTGGCCCCTCACCAGCGACTGAATTGCCGTTGCAGCAGTGATCTAAGAATGAATTCCGTCCGTGGGAAGGTGGAAGGAAACGAACAACACGTGTCGTTTAGAATGTCGGGTGCTGCAGGCAAAAGTAGTGAGTGTCCGCACTCGAGAACGCGAGGCACGACATTCCCCTGAGAGTCACTGCGCCAGCTGTGAACTACGGTATGTCCATGGCAGTGCAGAGTAATCCATCCCGAAAACTATATCCGAGTATCCGAGTTGCATGGTGCTAGACAGGTTAACTATGATCGAGGATCACGCTGCGAGAATGGGAACGATCTATCCCACCCACTTAGAGCATCCAAATGAAGCGCACGTCGAATTCGGCGGGGGTATTGAAATCTTCACATCCCGATTTAAGAGCTTGTCTACTCGCAACTAATTCGAGGAAGTCAGGCCTTGCTAAAGGTTCGGTACGAAACCAGCAGTCGTAAGATTGTGTTTCATGCCACGGCAACGACTCCCACATCTCACGAGGGTGACATAATCGACAACGAACTGCTACCTAAGGTGAAGCCGTGAGTCTTAATTAGTTGCGAGCATCTACAGCATGTATCACCCTCAGAACTCACCTTCTCCTGACTCGTCGAAAGCGCGTACTTCAAACGCTCAACTCGCATCCTTGCGAGCCTCTGCCTGGCGAACATCTGCAGCCTCACGGCCATTGCAAGCATGGTCGCGGCCTTTTCCTCCGCCGTCTGCCCGTGCAGGATCTCCAAGCGCTCGATCTGCCTGACCTGCTGCCGCTGCTCCACCCTCTCGAACGCCTCCAAGGTCATCCCGCTGCCGCCGGCGGCCTTCGCCCGTGCTTCCAGCCGCTGCATCTCGTCGAGCACCTTGTCCGCCGGACGGTCGAGGCTGTTCTTTATTGACTCCGGGAGATTTTCCTGCTCGGTAAAGTGCTGTGGGCGCATGCCCCTCACGGGCATAGGCGTGGCCCCCGTCGTCTCCGCCGCCGCCGACCTTCTTGGTTCCACCGCCGGCACTTCGTCATTCTCGTGGAACTCGGCGCCGCGCTGCAGACGGCCGAGGTCGGCCTCACGCCGCAGCTCCGCGAGGCGCCGCTTCTCGGCCTCCAGAGTTAGCCTATCCTGCTCGGCGAGACCCTCGGCGCGGGCGGCGCGTTCTCTCCCGAATTTCGAAGCGCGCTCCTCGTTCAGTGCCTCGTTCTGTTCGCGCTCGGCTGCGAGGCATTTGGACTGCAGCTTGTCAACCTTGTCCGCGAGCTCGGCCTCCGCAACCGCTACCGCAAGCGGTTCCGGCAGTCGGCGGGGTCTCCCGTTGCTCGCGGCGGTGCTGTGTTCGGTTCCCTGCATCCAGTCTCCGACCGTTCGCTGCTCCGGAGTCGCGATGGGGTCCGGACATTCCATGGCTTGGGCGATTTGTGGTGCGGTGACTACCGCAGCGCCAGCGTTGGTTTTAGTGTCAGCAGTGATTTTGGTGGTCTCTGGTAGCGTAGTAGAAGCCGCTTTGCTCCTGCCGGACAGGGTAGGTTCTTGATCCTCAGCCGACGGTGGATCGATCGAACATATCTCGACCCCGTTCTCGCTCATCGTCGTCCCTGGGTCGTCGCTTGTTGCTGCTTGTTCCTCTTGCGTCAAGGGAACACCCTTGGCGCCTGCTACGACTCCCCCGCCCCCTCCTTGGGAGGAAGTACGCACACCAGGTGTCGCAATACCCTGGGTATTCGGTAACGGCGGGGGCGGCCGCGATGGATCGGCTGGTAGCAAACCTAGAGGGCCGTCGGTCGCGCTTGGCTCCCCGGTGTCAACCACTTCCTCCGGCATTCCGGCTTCTTCGCCTCTCCCTTCCGCCGCCGGAACATTGTTTCCAGAATTCACGCCGGGAGAACCCACTCTGGTGCTCTCGAGAGGGCTAGCGGCGAGTCTGGAACCCACGGGTTCTAGTGACTGCGTGTCTTGGAGACCTTGAGAAGCGATGATTCTTCCTTCACCCGTACCGGTCTCTTCGTTCCCAGGCGGAGGACAAGTGGACGCAGGGTAGTCCGGCGCGCGTCCGTGTTCCGTGCCAGGCGGTGTCGTCTCACCGACCTCGGAATCGCCAATCGCGTCCTGGTTCAATTTGAGCTCGACTTTGAAACCACCCACGTCGGCGTGGCCGGATTGCGGTGTTGTAGGTGGTTCACCGGCCTTCTGCGTGGTACAGGTCACCTGGGTTATCCCAGGGCTTGTTGCGCCGCCATCTCGGGTGGTAATGCTCGTATTTCCAGCTGGCATGTCCCTCCGATGTTCGTCCAATGCAGGCGGCGCCCGAGGGTCGTTACCTTTGGCGAGATCCACGGTCGCCCAAGACGTCGCTTCCCCGTCGAACCAGCTGGTTGCCGCCGTCTCGTGGAGTGGAGAACCCATCGCCCGACCAGGTCCCTCCTGTAAACGGCTACCACGCTCCCCTGCTTCGGTGGTACTGTTCCTCCCTGGGGAAGCCAGCGAGGGCACCGGTAGTGTTGACCCAAGCCCCCTTCGTTTGTTGCGGTGATCGCGAAGGGCGTCGTCGAAGTCCGCGATGGCTTCATCGAGCGTGAGGACCCCGCCACCGATGTTGTTGTCCTGGTGCAAGGGGTCGTCCCCATCGAAACCCTCCGACAATCCCGCGCGGGACGGCGATGGACCGGACCCCTGGCCCTCACGGCTATGGTATTGTAGACTCTCTGACGATCCCGATCGATGATCACGATCGTGATCGCGTTGCTTTCGGGAACGCTTTCCGGGTGAAGCAGGAGCGGTGAACGCTCGAGAGGACGGCCTTGTTCTCGACGAAGCTCGGTCCGCCGGCGATGTACCGCCTCGGATCAGTGGGCGGGTTCTCCTACCACAACTCCTCGGGAACTTCGGGTATTGCGGTCAGGGGAGGGTGAGCGAACAACGGAAACGGTGGGACAAAGGTTCGGTGGGACAAAGGTTTCATTCTTGACGAAATTGAAAATGGAAAACTGCGACGATCCCACACACGCTACCGAATCTAGGTGTGGTAAGAGCGTGGCTATCCACTTGAATAAATAGCAAACTAGCACCTTGGAACAGTCGCAAAACCATGCAGCAAGAAGGCCACCTGCCGGCAACATCCCTAGATGACGTTGAAACGAGTCAACGGCGTCGCGAGTTGATTTCCCCACCAACGAACGGGCTAGACTTCATCGGCTACAGTACCTCAGGGAGGGGTTCTCGCTCCTTGATCTTCCGCAGTGATGCGTAGCCGTATGCCGGCCCCGACGTCCCGTCTCGTTCCACAGTGGCTGCCTCACCTTGGGCAACACCCACCACCCCTTCCATTACCGAGTTCGTATCCTCTCCTCCATCTCCTCCCCCTGCCCGTCCCTCTTTCCCCCCTCCTCCTTCGAGCAGGTTCGAGTCCTTCAATATCGTGACATCCATTGCAATCGTTCCAGTATCTATCATCTCGCCGCCGTTGCCCTCCTCCCTTGTCATCATGTTCTCTCCGCTGCTACCGCCGATGATATCTAACCCACCTTCTGGTGCCGCACCATCTACGAACGACCTTGTTCGTACCGCCGCCCCCGCCTTGACCCGTCCCTTCCCTTTGGCGGCGATGCCCATCCTACCCCCCGAAGGCCGTTTAGTCTGCGCACCTCGCCGGAAGAAGCTGGCCTCCTGCCCACCCGGAGCAGCAAGTAGATCCAGCACGTCCACGACGAGCCGCTTGCACTCTTGTCGCGTCTCGTGGCCACCCTTCACCCACGCTACGAAGGCGCCCTCGGCGCCGGCCGACAGCGACTCGAAAAGCGCCAGCTCGCCTCCTGGGCCTAGACAGGAAACGGCGTTTTCCCCGCGGTTCCCAGCGGCATTGCCGCCGTTGTTGACCGTGGGAGTGCCACCTAGACGAAGCTGATGCGACCAGACGTGGCGGGGACGGCGCCCCTCCAGGAAAGGGTCGACATTGGCCGCGTTAATGAGCACGTTGTCGGTCGACTGTGTGGTTTTGATGGGTTCGAGTTGGCGTTTTCGTTCGAAAAGCCCCCCGTTGACATGATGGGTTCATCCCGTCGTGGAGGAGACCATGTGGCAGTGGGGATGTCCGTGGTATTGGTCGTGGAGGCGGAGATGACGATCGTGTTGGTGTCGACAGCGGTGGTGGTGATGGCCGTGGTTTACGTTGCGGGTCGCGCGGAAAGTTGGCGCCAACCCCCGTCAGAGGGGATGCCACGCCAATCATCGGGAGTGGAATATAAGTGGTAGGTCAAGCAAAGAATTTTTCCGGGATTAACATTGGTGGTACTAAGGTAGATTCGGTTCCTCGTCTTGAGTCTGTCTATTGTGTTCCAGCCATGGAATCGAAACAAAACTCCAATATCCCCAAATCCAAATATATTTGCTGCTGTCTGTGCGGTGGATACCATGGTAGGCATGCATTTTATCAAAAACCAAAAACCAGTTGTCCTCAGCACAAAGTACGACAAAAGATTTCACCTGGATGAGCACAAGAGGTAGCGCCATCGCCTTGAGATCTTTCGTCAGGTCGCGGCTTCTGAGAGCGCCCCTTACGATGCGGAGCATGCCCTCGACGCCCAGCGGGTTCGCTACAGCGCACAGAATATTGAGGGCAAGATCTGACCCGATGGACTTCAGGTAGCCCTCGCTGAAAACAAACCTGAGTCAGATATTCGACACAGGCCACCAGTAGCTCAAAATCGGTGTGAAGGCGTTCGTGGAGGCAGAGGGTCACTATCACCTTGTGCATGTGAAGGTGTTTAATACGCTGGCGGCAACATTGTTCCTGGTTAGCCTAGGACCGACAACCTATGCTCCTAGGGCAATGCTCCCTCTTACATTTGTTTTGCACGTGACGCTATTTTTTTCTGACAGACCCACTCACCTGCTCCAAAAGGAGATTGGAAGATCGGGTCTTTCGGGAGGGAAGCACTCAAATGCTCTTTGCGCAGAGTGCAACACCGCCGCAAGCTGTGCGTCCACAGTCGCGAAGCCGTTGACGCACGCAAGGGACCTCAGAGTTGGTTTCCATTTGTTCTTGGAGGCATGGTGACAGGCGAAGGCGGCCGCGATGCTGGCGCCGTTTCCGATCCCCAGCAGGTGGAAAGGCCGGTCCGATAGTGGCATCTCGCCCATGTTGTCCACGTGCTGAGTAGAGGTGGTTTCGTATAGGGAAGAAGATCAACGGACAGCTTTGAAGTACGAATCGACCAAAGCTCGCTCACTCAGTTGGACGTCAAAAACTGCCGACGGTGTTTTATTGCGTAGCCGTAAATTGTCCAGGAAAGGAGAGGGAAATACGAGCGTGTCCATACCGGCCTAGTTTTACAACGTTTGACGCTCACATTGCAGCTATTCGATGCAAGACAGACAGCAGTGTTTCGATAGAGGCACGCCTCATAGGTGCAGGTGCTCTAGTTCGTCCCCCTTCTCTATCCCACTTCGACCAGTAAGGTCTACAGTTGCTATGCATACCTGCATCAGCTCGTCCAGCCTATCCGCAACCCAGACATTGGTAAGCAAGCCTTCAGGCTCGGGCGGAAGGTGAGTTCCAGCCTGGCCCGGTGAGTTGAAGCACAGCACTTGACACCCCGGATACTTAAGAACGAGCGGCTTGAAAAGCAGAAATGTCTTCTCCAGGGTATCAAAAAAGTCGTGAACCACCACGAAACTTAACACCCCCCCGTTCTCCTTGCCCGCCTCTTGGCCGGGCCCCCAGTCTTTCTCGCCGCCGTCGCCGCCGTTTTGCTCCCCCCACCCCCCTTCAGTGCCCCCCAACTCTGGCGCCGACAACAAGGGCGCTCCAGTTCCAACGACGGCGTACGGCATGAGCGTAGCTCCATCCGCACACAAAAACTCGGATCTTTCGAAACCGGCCGGGTCAGGCGCCGCTGCCGTGGCGTTCGCGAGCCTCTCACCCACCCGGTCCTGGCGGCGTTTTGCCGCCGCTCGGCCCGCCCTCGTGGTCTGCCCTCTCCCTCCCCCCACGCCCGAACCCGACGCTGGCTGGCGCGAACTTCCGTTCCTGTCCACCGCAGCAGCCGTGCTTTTGTTCCCGGTGTTGCGCAAGCCCGAACCCGGGGCAGTTCCTGCGCGGCTTGGTGACCCAATCACTGTCGTTGCGGCGGAACCACACCCCGACCCCACTCCGACTGGAATCCAGGCTTGCGGTGGCAGTGCCGGCTGCGGAAGGCGTCGGGGGTTGAAGCCTACAGTAGTGTTTGGCCTTGCCTCGCCACTAACGCCACCCACGAGGTGGCCTTTCGAGCACTGGTGCTTACTAATCGAAGAAGTACTGACAGCTGCAGCAGCGGTGGCGGTGGTGGCGAGGGTACCCGAAGCGGGAAACGGGTACACAGTTGGGCCAAGCGCAACCGTAACCCGTGACGGCGTAGTAGAACTCGTCCAAGGGCGGGTGCTAGCGACGTCACCATCAGTCTTGCCGTTCGGCGAAGGAAGTCGATCTCGTGCGAGAAACAGCGGCGTGCTGTTGGGTTGTGCTTGGGCCACCGAGGAGGCCGAGGGGAATGGGGGTATCGAAGAAGGCAAGCTATGCTTCTGTTGGTGGCGGCCCCCCTTGCTCATGTTGTCTTCCAGTCCCGGTCCTTGCGTAAGCGTGCTGCTACGCGAGTGACCTCTGCCCGTGCGCCATCTATGAGCTTCCTGCTCGCGTGAGATCGGTGTGTTCTGCATGATGTATGATGTTTGCGGCGGCGTGTTCTAGTGTGCGGACGGACGGTGGGTTGAAACGCTACCCACGTCCTTCGAAGCACAGGAATGAATGGGACAAACTCCGCGCTCACAAACACGTGTAGGATTGTGTATCACGAAGAAAGCTTGCCCTTACCGCAGAAAACTCATACACGCCCCCCTTTCCCTTAACTGCTAGTGGACACACGTGTCACTCACCAGGACTCCAAGAACCCAGGCACATATCTTTGACGCCGGGAGCGACACGCACGCAACGATTTCCGGTCGGAATGCCGGGTTCCTGGTGTAAGTCTCCAACTTCCTTGTCTGGGAAACCCTAAGGGTGCTTAGGTTCAGTCCAGAAATCGCTGCGAAAAGCTTGTCAACGTTGATCATGTACCGTCTCGCGGACAGCCAACCTGCGGCAGTGGGTTCTCCTTGTCCGGTTAGTGCGATCATCAACGCGGCCGTCACCATGTTAACCGCCGCCGGGGGCTTGGCGAACGACCGGAGCTCGCAGATATCTCCCCGGGTGAGTCCGTCAATGGCGGCCTGGGCGCGCATTAGAGCACGGCTTTCTCCGGACACCGATGTTTCGTTCTGTCGCTCCCACTCTTCTTCCTCTATCCTCTTTCCAAGATAAGCACCCTGAGCAGTGGAGGAGATCTGGGTGTTGTCAGGCGGCTGAGAGACGCCCCAACTTGAGCTGCCACCGCGAATCTGGGCATCCGCCGCTTGTTCTCGAGACGCGTTACTCTGGACACGACTCACCCACTCTTCCCGCCGCGTTCCGGCCCCACTTCGTGCTCTTTTCGGGGCTCGCTGATGCTGTCCTCGGATGCCATTGCTACCATGTACACCCAGGTCTGCTGATAACCCTGTCCCCATTTCCTCTGCGGCTGCCGCCGCCTGCGCATCGAGCCGCTTCACGGACTTTGTTCTGGCCTCGTCTACCATGCTATAGACACGGTAGCAATTGCCGCAGACCCGAACGGGCCTGTAGTAGGTGGCCGGGAATACTGCGCCGAGCGACACCGAGCTCTCGCCGAGGCCGGAGAGATGGTCCACGAAGGGCTCCTTGTTCCCCCTGCGGTATCGACGCAGCTGTGGCAAAGGAGCAACACCATGGGGCAATGCTTGATGAATAAGACGGCACTTTGGCGCTACTAGCTATTGATAAGCCCGAATTTGGTATTGGTCTACGAGTGTGAAAGGACAAACGCTGAAACGGGAGTACAAATGCCGATGAAGAGACGCATGGTCGGCCGAATTTCACACCGATGAGAGCACAAATGGCATCAATAATCGCACCTGCTGATCAATCAGGTGACTCTCTTGCCTCCCCCGAACTATCCAAGAAAACGGGATCTCGTTCCACTCCGCCTGCGCCTCTTTTCCTTTGTCGACTGCCGAATCCCATCGTCGGGAAAGCCTCCCACCGCCGCCGCCTCGTCGAGAAGTGCCATCGATCCCTGTCCCCTTTCTAGCGGTGTCTGTCATTCCCCTGCCCTTGCGTGGCGATCGCTGCTCCGTGACGTGACTCCCTTTGACCAGCCCACCGTCAGCTGGCAGCACGCCGTGGTCTTGCAGAGCAGCCTCGTCGAGCTTGAGGATTTTCGTTCGAAACGCGCTCGTGCCGGCGCTGCCATTGGGATTTTCACTTGTCCTTCCCGAAGACGGATGGGGGTGGAGAGGAGCGGCGAGGTTGAGTGATCCGTTTCCGGTTTCCTCTCGCTCAAACCTTGCTTGCTGCTGAATCTGAGCGAAACGTATGTTCGATTGGGGGCAAATGTGCGGGACGATGTTAGGGGCGGTACGGACAGAGGGGTACGGTGATGCCAATTTCTCGTAGTAGAACATGGGTTTTGCTCCCCCGCCGTTTGGTGTACGTTAAGGCCGGTAAGCCTGGAAGATCAGTTGTACTCTAGGCTCCAGGGCACCGCTGTTTACTTCGATCAGCCTAGTACTATTCTCGAGAATGTGAATACGCCACGAGCCCACTGTGCGAACCTCCCTTACCTTATCCAGCAAGTCTGTGTCGCAGAAGTCCCCATGACACATGCGAGCGAGCTGGCTACTCCCAAGCGCTCGTCCGGCTGCCGCGGTACGCCCAATCTCTCTCGGATCATGCTCCCCTGGTGCAGCAAAGCCATGAAATGTCACCCCAATATCACGGACAGCCCCGGCTCCACCATCCGTCCGGTTTCCCCTAGCCTGAACTGTGCTGAAAGTGGAAGCCACCTCCGCCCTGCTACATTCCGTCGACACAGTTTGTGGCCTCCTCGCGCCACGCACTGTGCTAGAGGGTGATTCGGTTTTGAACCCCCACTCTTCGGCATCAAGCGTCCCTTGGCTGCCGCCAGCTTCGGCCGGTGACATGGCAGTTTGTGCTCGTCGATGCGATTCTGCCCTCGGTTCCCTCCGATCCTCTCGACCTGAGGGGCTTGTTGTCAACATATTGAGTTCAGAAGGGGGGCAAGGTGCACTTTCCCCGATGGCATGCCCGTATCGTAGCAGGGACAGCTCATCGGCAATGTCTTGGGCGGACTGGAGCCGTGCGGTTTTGGACTGAGACGGGGATGGGCTTCGGCGCTGCCGGCTGTACGGAGGCACGGATTTGGTCGTGACACACTCCGAGGAGCGCACAAGCCGCAAGTTGCCGAAGACGTCCTCAACTACTTCCAGCACGAGCCGGAGCACGCGAGCCCCACTAAAAGCCTCTACCCACAGTAAAACTTGGTTGCACAAGCGTCCCAGCTTCTTGTTAAGGGTAGAGGATTTGCATGGTATGCGTTTGGGAACTCCCTTGAGTTGCACCAGGCGGTATGACCGATGCACGGACTTACCCGCACAGGGCTCGAGAACGAATGTGTGCTGAATGCTGAGCAGTGGCTCTACGCAAGGAGCTTTTGGGGGTATGAGGACAACCAGAGCAACCGTACCCGTGGGAGGGGTGCCCTGGGCCTTGCGGATCTTCCCCAAGTCGACTGTCTTGACGGGGATAGCTTCTCCGGCTGACGTGAAGGCCACAGCTCCGTTCACCCCGACGCCGCCTTCCGCACCGGAAGAATTAGCATCGGCCAGGGCACCAACATACTTCTTCGAAGGTCGAAGGTGCGCCATGGCTTTGGCAAATGTGATGCATCCCTCGTCCTCTGCGATAGCTCTGGACACGACGCGCCCCGCGCTGGTGTAGTAGAGCGCCTCGGGGGATCCATCATAGTAGATAATGGTCTCGAGGATATCCACAGGGCACCCTGTTCCTTGGCCAAACCGACGGTGAGCGAGGCCCTGCAATACCCAAGGCCAATCGCGTGGCATCCCCTCCTCCCCTGCGAATGCCATGAGCTGCGTGGTCCGGGTGATATGTCGAACATGCTTCTCGGCATCGTGGCCATGGTCAACCTCATCTGGACGTAGCGGTGACGTAGAACGCTCTCGTTCTCGAAGGGGGCTCCTACTTCTGTGGTCATGCACCATTATGCCAGGGGCGTTGTGTTGTCACCGGCGCAACGGCGGTAGCATGTTTGTGACGACAACGTGAGCACTCGCTGATGTCAGCTAGCATGTGCTACGGCTGTGCCCTTGACGTCGGTTTACGAAATGCATTACTTCTGCCGCACTCATGATCGAATGTTGCCCGGATCGACGTGGGACTATTGTGTACAAATCGATTGCACGGTGAGAGCTGATAGCAGCCAACCAGCGACCCGGGGAAAGGATATGGGAGGTATTGCTGTAACAACAGTGGCCTTTATTATGCCGCGTTTTTTTTTTTTTCTCGCTTGTTTTTCATGAACATCATCTACCACCGCATTACAGTAGTTCCAGCATTATTTGTATGATGAAATTCACAGAGTATTTGATGACCTGCCTGTGATTTTACTGATCTTCGCGTAACAAGTAGTGATAGTTGTTTGTGGTGATAAAAGGTATCACGGTTGACCAAGATGTTGAGGAGGCCGTAAAAATGTTCCTCTTCGCGTTGCGGTTAGATCAAGATGCGGCGCGATACATTTTTGCGGCGTGATATGCCATATTGCTCTTTGCTAGATTTGCTACTGCTGAAGAGAGCCGCAAAGCAGTCTAGCGTGCGTGGCTCGGTGAAGAATCTCCAACAGGCAATCCTACACTGGTTCGACTGCTAATTCGAAAGTTCCAGCGCTACACGGTGTAAAAATGCCTCAAGCTATTGTAGCGAAGAAGCCTGTGGCGACCCATCCAGATATGTGTATCGAGAGCCTCCCACGCAGGCCCCACGTCGTCACGTTCGACAACGCACTCTTGGCCCTCAAGCTCGCTCCCGGGGCGAGGGGAAAAGGGGCAGTCCTCGACGGCTGGACCGACCCTATCGGTGCGCACGATCAGAAAGTCATTGAGGTCGAGCAGGCCATGCTCCAGGAGAAGGAGTTGGTGAGCGGCAACCCTAACATGTACTTGCACAGTCTACTTCTGTACAGATTTTTGTCGTTGACCCCGTAGATAGAAATCACTTGACGGGGGAGATGTCTTGTGGCACATGTACCTTTACAGTGATTTTGTGATTAGCACCTGCTGGCATCACTGATCGAAAAATTTCAGTGTAAAGGCTTTAATAGACTCCAAACACTGTAAAGACTTCAACACATCCCGTTCGACTGTGGTCTTATCTCGAATGGGTAGTCTTTTCTGTGTTTGTATTTATGTTTCCTAACAGCTACCAATCGACATTAATATGCCGCAGCTTTTTTCGAAGGTTTACCTTCTTGTCACCAAAAGTGATTTCCGAGTACGCGAGAACCCCGTGGGCTACTCTGACAGACAGCTTTGAAACTTCGATTTGAATTGAGATTTCAGATATGCATTCCTTGTGTTCGGATGTTTGGGTGGGTACGTGCAAGGTAGGAGCGGCAGAATGGGGGTTCGTTTTCCAACACAAGCCAAGCCATCTCTTGGTTCGTACGTTTGCCATGCTCCTTCGGGTGCCGGGTTCAATGGTTCTTGTTCAATACTGTGAAATTTAATATCACCCAGTCAAAGACGCTTGTTGTCTCTTATGCCAAAGTAAACCTAACTATGTACGTCGTACAACATAGAAGTACATATTTGCTTAGGTTTCCGGACGCTTCGACGCTCCTCGCGTTTCCGAGCTGCTGCCAACGGGTGCCTATTTCCAGCATAGACAAAGGGTCTCTCACCACAGGCGCCTAGAGGCGAAAAATCTTAACGTATATCGCACGTAACTTGGTTTTCGATTGGGTTTTCGCCTATGGCTGGCCTGAAATGAACGTGGCCTGCCCGGGGATGTCTCGCGCCCTCATGCTCGCCGCGCGCCACGCTAGCGACAACGCGACCTGTGAAGCGGAACGTCCGCTACCCACGAATCCGACCCAAAAAAGAATCGCCCCGGCTATTGGCTGAGAGGGGATGCACACCTGCCGTTCGTCCGTCCGGGTACAGTACATGTATCGAGAGTTTTCATCTCGCCACGGTTTGTCCCGACATATCCGTCACGCAAGCACCCCCGTCATTCAGTGCGCCGCTGCTGATGGGTCTCAATGTCCACTATCTGCCTCTGCAGCACCGCTACATATGTGGGTAGTAGCAAACAGCACCACACCACACATGGATGAACACTACACACGTTTTTGTGGTTTGCCGCTTTCAAGTACTTTTCGGAAGAACGAAGAATGGATCGTTGGCTCTTTAGGAGCGATGCAAGATACATGTGTGTGTATTTTTTCGCTCTGCGGGGCGGGTGAGCTACCATTTGAATGGCAGTTGTTCTGCACGTCTCGGCGATCGACATAGATACGCTGGTGATCAAATACGCTACGAGGTATCTTATGTCGTGCATAGTTTCGATACGTCTCTCCCTGTGGTATGTGTTCCTGGAAGCGTCCAGCGGGTACGTGCGGTTCTTCTCCTTTTTCGAGCGTAGACCGAAACGGTTATAACGCAACACGACAACAACAACAACAACAACAACAACAGCACCAGCTTGCGTTCAACTACACCAGTTCCTTTGGCACCCGTCTACATTCGCCTCTACCTTCACCGCTTGGCATCCTCTACTACTACACTATCCTTCTGCTTACCTGCGGGTTAAGCGCAGCCCACCACCGCCCAAGGGCGGCAGCCGGAGCCAGCTAGTATTGTATTGGGTGATGAACTCTGACCCTCATCATCGGTGCAGAATCCTCCCTGTGGGCCCATACTCCTGCGCAAGTTATTGTCCCAATTAGCTGCCTGCATGTAGCACACAACAGCAAAGCTCTTATGCCTATGAGCTGCCACAAACGGAACAACTGCCGGAACCTTCCTAGGTGTCGGCCATCAAGTACTGCACCCGGGTGGAGAAGAACTGGATGGTGGCCATGGGCCTCCTCAACGAGCAGCCGCACAAGCTAGAGGAGTACGTCGCCCTAAAGTTCGAGATGAAAACCTTTGAGAAAAGGTTTGCGAGAGCGAGCGTCTTGACGGAGAAACTGGAGCTACAGTCGCAGTGGGAGAAGTACTGCGCCATGGAGCCAATGTACGAAAAGGCAAGCACAGCCGGTTAATTGTCGTTCTGGAGTACCCCACATGCCACACTCTGCCGGTTTGTCCCTCTCCCGCACATCTTCAAGCTGGACTCTTGTCTTGTGTTTACCTTCCGAGTAAAGCCGTTGCCAAATAATGCCGAATGTGTCCTACAGATTCTTGCGGCCAAGGAACAGTACGATCTTGTCAAGGTGGACAGGGAACAGGCTCAGGCCGACGTGCTCGCCCACGGCCGGACCATGGCCAAGCTCAAGCGCGAAGAAGTGGAGGCGGCGGAGAAGATTACGGACGACCACGTCCACGCGTGCGACCGTGGAAAGTCCCTGGGCGACATTTTTCCGAGCATTAGGGCAAGCAAGAGAAACTATTTGACTCCGCGGCATAAGGATTGTTTCGATTGACAAAGAAGCGCTCGAGAGCCACAACGCGTACTACCGGTTCAAGGACCCAAAGTGCAAGGTCGATGACTGCCGTTGCCGTTGTCAAGTACCAGTAGGTGACATGGATTCGACGTCACGTCACATCTAGCCTCCCTATCCTCAACCTAATAAATCGTGCCATCATTCATGCGGACGTCTCAGGTCGGCTTCATCATCACCAGGCTTTTCGGCATAGTCAACCTGAATCTGGAAGACGTTCCGTTCGAAGAGGTAAACAAACTCAACATCGGCGATTAAGATGGATCCCCGAGAGAACACTTGAAGGAATATCGTGCATACACCCGTTTTTATACGTCATGGTGCTGTCTCTGGCATCCATCACGCCGTAGCAGTGACCGTAGAAGGAAAATCTAGGAAGCTCATGCCCGCGGAGCACGCCGTGTGTTTTCTTGCAGGTGTGTCGCGCCCTTTTTAGCTGGGAAAAGGCCATGTTAAGACCAACAGAGGTGTGCGTGCCGTACCCATGTGCCCGATACTCCGTGTTCTCGTCGTTGACTTCCAAGGTTGAGGTTGCTCTTCAAGGGAGTGGCTGCCATCGTGGTTTATTCTCCCGTATGCCCTGTATCACGTAGCCTTGGATGCTCTCTATGGCTGGTGTTGAACGGCGCGATTGAACAACTTGTGTGGTAGTTTTCCCCGTACATTAGGTCAAAGACGCAACGAAAATGCCATCGATGGCTGCTGGCTGCAACGCAGGTGCTGCTGGAGTTAAAAGCCGCCCCCCGGCCACATACCTTGGAGTTCTTGCGGTACGACATGAATTTCAACAGGCTCACGCTCAAGTGGGAAACGCTTGAAGAAGTGCGTCAGCAGGGGAAGTACGTCAGGGATGCAAGAGAAGAGGTGAGAGAGTCAACAGACTGCCGTGACGGAAGATTATTTTGGTCAGCGTCGTGGAGTTGTGTTGTGCAAGAAAAGGAGCAGTGGCAAGACCGTTTCCACATCCCACTTACGGCACAGGCAGGTTGCCGTCACAGACAGCAGAGAATGGGCCAGGAACAACCGGCAACCCACGCGTGCTTCTTCAAGCGAAACGATGGTGAAGGGCATCACGCGTTTCAGGAAACAGGAAACCGTGTCGAATGCTACGGAACCCCCTCGCAGAACACACGCCACTACCATAGAACTGCGGTCGTTCTGCGGATCCCTCCCTTTCGTGAGCCTCTTCATTTTCACAAACGACCGTGGCTTTACGCGTGGGACGTTCGCTTCCCGGTAATTCCGTCTCGTGGCCGTCGCCGTTGGTAATGTTACAAACATCGCCCGCGTCCTTGATATCCTTGCGTAAACTCACGGTAGCGGCTGTACTTCGTGAAGGCCTGCGCGGAGGGAGACATCGACAGGTTGCAGATCAGACTCGATCGAGGCGAAGACGTAGAATCGACCGACCTGCAGGGAAACACCGGTATGCACGTCGCGGCGGCCAATTCGGGCATCGATGTGATGAAGTTCTTGCTGGAAAATAGGGCCGACCAGGAAGCCAGAAACCGAAATGTGCGTTCGCGCTCGCCCACGAGGGCGTGTACGTGCATACGCCGTGGTTCTTTGAGGAACCACCCCAAACGTGATGCAGAACTGCCTATATATATAGCTTGGGGATTGTTGGTTGGGTACGGTTTTGGTATTCGAGTAACGTGGGTTTTCTTCATATATCTTCACAGAGTGGAACGACCTTGCTGTAGCCAATGAGTGTACATGAATGGACCTTTTCTTGCGAATGATCACTGTATGGGGTTGAAGAAGGTCCTTCGGCACCGCAAGGAGGGAGGCTCTTCGTCATGATCAATGGGGCCATAGTCGTCGAGGAGCATGCCAATAAACTGTCTCGCCGCACGTCGAGGTACACCCCCTTCCCGATCACTGTTGGGGCAGATGAAATGTTTCTTCCAGCGCGATTCCGGGTGACATTCCTTGATGCTAACGCGCATTGAATGGCACGTACGCGTGTACCTGTATGTCATCTTGCGGTCGTGTGGTGGGGGTGGAACAGATGGAAACACCACTCATGGTTGCGGCGAAAAGAGGGTCAACGGTGTCCGTGCGCTGGCTGCTCCAGAGAGACGCCAAGATCGACGTCTTGGACAGGGCGGTAAGGATCTACAGCGTTGGTGTTGTTCGCGTTGGTGTTGGTGCTAATGAAACACGTCGGCCGTGTTCCAGTTGTCGTGTCTGTTGTTGCTGCTGTTGTCGTCGGCTTTGCCCCGTGGTATGGTTTAGCATCGGTCCTGACCACACACACCATGCAACAAAGACGGACCAATATACGAAGCTCTGGAAAATCCTCCTACGATCGCGATAACGTCTTGTTCACAAGCATCAGCGCTCTCGTCAACTTCCCGCCGATGTCCCCATCCAAACATTGGTCTCCCCGTGAAATGTACCTTTGCTTTGCGCTTGTCTTTCCTTCTGTCCCCTCCACCGCCAGCGGCGTACTCCTCTCATGCACGCAATTCTCTCCAAGAGTGAAGTAATGGCCGCGCTCTTCATGGACTACTCGGTGGCTCTCCAAGCAACGGACGTCCAGTGGGGTTGGACGGCGCTGCACTGCGCGGCGCACGTGGGCATGGTGAAGGTCGTCGAAAATCTCCTCGGGAAACGCGCTTCGCCGTACGCGGAGAGTAAGGTGTGGTCCACTGCTAGTTTGCGTGTTTTCGTGTTCTACGGCGATACGGTTACACGTGTCCTGGCTGCTGGGCGAAGGAGGCTCGAGGCCTCACAAGCACTGGATTGGCAGCCATCAGTCGATTAACAGGGAATCTTGATGGGTACAGAAAAAGCCGAGTTTCTTGGGGTTGGGAAACGTGAAGGATGGACAAGGCGGATGTGCACCAGAGTTTCTGAGGAAAACAGTACGCGGTAGACCTGCAATTATTATTGTGTTGTAACAGGAGGCTGTCGCTGCTGCCAGTTCTGCCACTGCGGCCAAAAAAACTCGACCCGTGCTGCTAGTGAAGCGGGTATTTCGAAATATGGAGTTAGCTGGAGGTTCTTGTTTGTCGTGCGGCCACATTTTCTTCGCATCGTGTACAACGAGGTAGTCGTATCACAATACCGCCAACGACACGGTTACTCAAAGCAGGGTGCACTCGGACGGAGCGTTTTAGCAGCCGAGCAGCAACGTTACCTCCCCCATTACTCCCCTGCCCGATAAATAGCAGTGCTGAGTTGATCGTCACGGTAGTCCAACCATGTCCTTCGCTTGCCTGGAACAGGGCCTCGTAGGTTTCCACCACGAAACTCAGCCTAAGATGTATGGGTTCCCCCACGATGCACATGCACGTTGCCTTTCTTATTCTCTCATCGGTTCCATGTTGTGGCGTCGGACAGATTGGCCAGACGCCGTTGGACGTGGCGAGCAGAGCGCGCCAAATCAAGACCACTGCCCTACTGGAGGCGTTCCTGCGAGCCGAACCAGCACACGAGGTCATCGCGGAGGCTGGGGCAAATGTAAGGCTGTTTGAGTGTTCCACTTCAGTTTAGCCTACGACAGCAGTGTGCTTCGCTTAGATCCGCCCAGGTTCCACCAAGGCACGTTGCGTTGTGCTCAGTTGTCGTTGCGAAATATTTTTTAGGAACGGCCGTCATTGGAAGGGTTCAAGCCCCTCATGCATGTTTTCTACGCGTCACCAAGCCAGCTGGTACCAACTTGGTCGACTCAAGACGAGCCGAAACCAGTGAGAACGGGTTGTACAGTGTACCCCTTCACCTAGATGTCGTTTTGCGGCCACCGAGGTCTTCCTAATATACGCAGGCATCTTCCCCTTAGTAGATCATCAAATGGACCGCCGCCCACACAGAGTTTCCGTGGATTTGACTCCGATTTACTCAGATATGGCAAGGGTCGCACGCGGCTGCACATCCGGTGTGGGCATCAGACCAGGGGTTCGAGTGCATCCTCTCCATTGTGGACCCCAGATTTCCGGACAAGAAGCTTGGCTGGTTGGAGGACGACGGGGACGTCCGTCACTTGAGGGTGGAGGCCGAGGTACCATGGAAATCGACGAGGATACGAATCGCAGTGCGCGATGCATTTTCTTTCAGCTCGTTTCAACCGATTTCGTTGGAAACGGCTCGTTTAGTTCAGCACAGCGAACGGGTTCTCATGGTGTATTAGAACGTCCTATCCTTGGAATGGTCTCTCCAGTGATATGTTATGCTTGGCGTCTCATGAGTTGTACCGCCCGTTCAGGGACCGTATTTCCCAATCAACCCTAAACATTTGGTACGAATGCACATAGTCTACCTACATTGATAGCCTTCGATTTTGTTGGTCATTGACAACCGGTATGACGCGTGGCCCAATTTCAACTCGTACATGCAGGTCGACGACGAAGACACATCCCCCAGAGCATGGAACAACATAGCCCAACACACCAGGGTAATTATCAGCTTCTTGTACACTGCGGTGAGTGAAGCAAAGTGCGCATACCGTGTATTAATATTTAGTCCACCGCGTCAACATTTCATCGGATAGTATCGCCTTCTCGGGGTTGGAGATACTGTTATATACCAAACCGGGGGAAAGCCCGTTATCTCTTCAACGTCATTCAAAACTCTTTTGCGCAGCTCATGCTCTCATCATCTCTAGCAAGGGAAGGAATCCTTCGTGGAGTCCGTGGATAGGGATTGGTATTAAACCTTAATAGGTTTAATGCTGGGATCTTTCTACCCATACACTCGCCGACCCACACTCGGTCCCTCCTCGGAAGTGCCTTGGGCGATACATAGACAACTATCCTATCATCTGGGTTCCCCGTTATGCGCCCCCCACATCCACCCATGGCCAAGCTGTCCCGCCCCCCACTCTCTCACACACACAGGTCCGGAGACGCAAGAAGATCCTCGTTCACTGCAGGAATGGTCGCAGCACCTCCGTAGCCATGCTAACCGCCTACCGTCTGCTCAAGCACGGCGTTGGGGTGCGCAACACCCTCTCCACCATCGCCCGGGCTCGAGGGGAATCCATGGACCTGTCCCCGGCAATGGCGGCAGGGCTGCAGCAGCTGCAGGAGGACTTCGCGAAGGAGAAGGAAAAGCGTCTGGTGGAGCGCGCGCGCACAGCGCCAATATTGTCCCTCGGGTTTTAGGTGGTAGTGCGTGAGTGCCTACAATAGACGGGGTTCCTTGCCATAATAATAGTGTTTGTTGTCTCGTTTGGGTGGTCGACATATGAATGGTGGATGGCGCTGGTTCGAGACCACATTTATTTTAGCTAGCTAGGGTCAGATTCGTTACTGCCATATGCTGTTCCATGGCCCCTACACTTCGCTCGGTGTGATAAAAGACTAAGATGGTGAACCTGAAGCCAAACTCCTGCCACAGGAGGAGCCAAATAACAATAGAAGAGCGAGACAGAGACCGACCACACCTCGTAGGCCGTCCAGATACGAGCAATGTTCGTCGATAGTGTCGTGTACAATAGTGTAAGCTCCAAACTGTTCCGTCAAGTTGTATTGTGCATAGGGAGCGATCGGCTACTTCTTCTTTGGATCTGGGTGGTATGGGTGATTGAGATTTGCAAAAAAAATGTAGCATATGCTGTGTGTATAATAGCTGAAAAAATGCCTTGTACTCGTAACATAGGGGTGTAGAACGGATACTTCTTTGGATCTGGTATTGACCAGTGGGCTTTGAACGAAAGATCGCTGACCGTGTTTGCATATTTTATATTTGACAAATTGCCTTGTACCCGTAAAATAGGCTTGTAACATGGTAAATGGGGAAGCGGTGGGCGTGATTGCACGTGACCCACGACTTACCAAGTTTGAAAATGGATTTCGAAATCAACACTAAATAACAAACGGATTGGCGACAGAAGAGCAGCACCGAAGGACTACTGTTGAACACTTGCCTCAAAATGCATCGCAGCATCGGTGTCGGTACGCGATGCCGTTTATTTTGGATGGCCCGGTGTTTTGCATATGTTCACAGTTGGGGCCAACAGACCATTGCCCTGTCGTCTACCACATACGCCCTACTGTTTGCCCTTCTCGCCCTTCGGTAGTGGTTTGTGGTACACCAGGAATCTCTGTATTTTCTTTTTCAGGAGCGATCCCTGCGGGAAGAACGCCTGCCTAAAGCTCTTCCACCACGGTGAGGCAACCATGGCCTAGGGCTAATACCACCTTCTACCATCGCCTACTGTAAGGTCAAAGCCATCTCACCATCCCGTGACTTTTGCAACGGCTCCTTTTGAGCGAGAAACACGACTCATTTGAGCGAACACCTTAAGACGAGACAACCGCGGAAACCGAGAGCCTCCCCTTTCTCGAGGCCGAACTATTTGTCACGACCGTAAGGCTGTTTCGAAAATCGTTTCCAACGTATCAGTTCAATGCGCTTCAACGGAATGTCCAACAAACAACAGGCTCTGCTTGAGAAGCAAGCAACGGTCGTCCGAGCGTCGAGTTTCCGGAGCTCTACCCGCTCTTAACACATGCCAAAGTCTCGTTCTAGGAACTTACGACATTGAATCGGCCCCCGCCTTTGTGTAAAAGTACTGTGCACATTGGATGAGCGTTCTCTACCGGGCTAGCCATGAAGCTTTTCCGCACCACACGCGCACGCCACGGCGGTTTGGACAGATTTCCGAGCGGACCACGCAATTGTTCATCAAGTGCTCTCAAGGTGCTCTTACGCTGCACCCACCGCCCGCACACTTTAATTATCATTCCCATCGAAGAAACCAAGGCTAAAAGCGACTGATGAGGACGAAGTATTCGACGCGGTTCTAAAGTTGCCTCACTTTGGAGACGGCTCCGACTCAATTCACATGCGGTGTTTCCGCCAAAATATACAACCTTTCCGTCGGACACCGACGCAGAAACTGAAAAGAATGCAAAAGCTGCTTGTACACTGCTTCTATGGTGTAGCGCGAAACAAAGCAAACGCCAACGGCAATGAGCACCTCGTCATGGCAATGGCATGACAATTGAAACCCGACTATTTAGAGTAGCAGAAGCCGTAGCAGCAATGCCAGAACTTCGCACGCCACAACCAGACCACCGGAAACGAGGATACAATATAATCACAAGACGCGCACGCTGTAGCAAACGGCTACGATATGCCACACACACCGTGTTCTGAAACACAGCGGGGGGGCTCAAGTTTAGTAAGTCCCTCTCAGTTGCGTTTGTGCTCGCGCCCGCAACGTCTGTACTGATACCATCGACCGCGCCAGCCGGCTGCCAAGAAAAAGACGTCAGTTTCAGTTCGGCCAAAATACCCTTCTAAAGGTCATGCCCGGGGGGCCGTGTGTGTGCTGTTGTGTTCATTGCCTGGCCTGTGACCGCCACTCCGCCTGCGGCACGGCTTTCAACCTCACAGTCCCGGCCTTGTTCTCCTTGCCGACGATGACCTTGCACGAAAGTCGCCACCGGACGGGAAGGTTTCCCCTCGACAGGAGCATTAGCTCCTCTTGGTCCGGAGATGTCAAGAGATCAGCGCCCTGTTGGACCTGTTTTTCCGGAATTGGTTTTTTGACCACGGCACGCCGAGATATTAAAAGGGGGGCGGGCTCTGCAAAACTTGGCGTAAGTGTCGCCGTTTACCGCGCCTGTATCTCTACGAGACTAGTCGTTCGCCTTGATCATAGGACAACGACCGCATTCGAAAAGCTGACGCAATCTTCAGGTATGGAAGGCGCGCGCTAACAATCACAGATGTGTCACAATTCTCACGCTTCTAGTAGGAACGACTGTTGTGGGAGCGGTATATACTGGGAATGAGATGCGAAAGACCAAGAACGATGACATTCCCGCATTCTTCTGCGTTATTGGTATCTATGCCACGGCTGCTGTTCCGGAAAACTATCACCTCTACGAAGCAGGTCCCGCATGTCCCCTCTCCCGCGCAGTTGCCCGTGGCGTACGGCTGGTCGAACCGCTTCGTTCTCGGGTCGTACACCTTTGCGAGCGGGCAGTACCGCGCCGCCCACGACGAAAAGGAGGGGGGGAATGGGGAAAACAACGAAGTCAAAACAAAAATGAAAAATGGTACATCGCTAATGGCGGTAAAAACAATCGAAAATGTGAAGATATAATATCAAACCCTGCAAAAACAAATTAAACCCAACGAGTTTTCAACACGCCAAGACAACAACGTACTAAGGAAAACGACACGAAGACGGTTAGCTTTTATGCAACCCAAAAAAAAACAGTGGTGGGTGTAAGCGGCGACAAGTAGTCACTCGGGTTTTCCGCGGTGTGCAACGAAGGCGCCATCCAAGAACTTGTGCATCATTCCAAGCACAACTCGCTGGAATATCACCACACAACGTTGGGAGCCAGTCGGTCACCGTGCAGAATCAACACTCCGCTGTACTGTACAAACAAGCAAGCTTTACCAGGGCGTCGGTCGAAGCGCGCAAACCACTACAGTACAGCCGGACGGGCATCCGTTCCGATGCCACGCCAAAAGAGTTACAGGGGTGCCTGCTCCATGCTTGTAGCGCGTGCTAGAAACAAGATGTCGCAAGGTTTCCGTCCAAAACGGCGCGGCATCAAAACGGCTAAAGCCGAGAGTCATCAACTTGGAGTGTTGTACATGCAGACACGAGTGCATATGCCCTGCAGGAAACGTCACGTCGCCGCACCATCGGCCCTGCTTCCTGTTGCTGCCTGCATTGATGCCAACAGCCAGTCAGTCCCACACGCCGGAACATCAATGAATGGGTGACTCCGTCAACACAGTGTACGTCCAAGAGCCGGAGATGCGCGTCTCCAAGTCTCACCGGCACGTCTAGCCGAATCATCTCCCCCCGGAGGTTGCTGCCGGCCTTGATCTCGTGGTCGCGGCTGCCGCTCGGAAGCTCGAACTGGACATTGATCGACTCCCGCTTCACCAGGCGCTTGATGACCAGCACTATCTCGCTGGAACAAGAGCCAGAGTGCACATAGAGCAACAGGAAGTAGAGGTGTTTAGTTCATCGATGACACGACCATGGGCCTTCGTGATGGACGGGACAGCGCGGGGGAATGAGGGATAGAAGACAGGAAACCATGTGTCGACGACGCTTGTAACGGCATTTTCTACTAATGCTTGGTGCTTGTTCGGAGCTCCAAGCATCGGAGCTCCAAGCAGACAGGAGAGGCGTTCTTTGCGCAACTCGGGTGCGATTGTACCTATCCGGCCACGACAGTTTGTCATTGCTTCGGAGTCATTGCTTCGGAGCCAAGAAAGCACGCAATAGGATTCGTTGTCCAAGTCATAATGACACTCCCCACCCCGAGCGTTGCGGGATTTCCGCATGGGTGCGGTTCTTATACCAACATTCCATACATCGATGTACTTGTGTACGTAGAACTCGCCTCTCCTCGGCGAAGCTGCCCAGGACGGACACGGTCTGGTCCCAATCCAGCGCCTCTACCCTCGACATGTCCCCCTCGATTCCCGCCGAGCAAAGCGTGTCCCCCACGCAAATCTTCAGGAGAGCGATTGGTTGGAGTAAGTGTTGCAAGCAGCGTAACGGAAAACGTAAAGCAAGCATAGCAGTAGTAAAAAAGGGGCAGGGAGAAGAAGTATCAGCAAGCGTTCGGCAGCGGCAGCGACAGCAGCAGTAGCATCAGACGCAGCAGCAGCTTTGCACCACTGCGACAGCAGCCGCAGGTCATGAAGATTCAGCAGAAGTGACACGTGGCGTGGATTCAATCATGTCGTACGGAGTGTTGTGGTGGTGGCATGGTGAGGTTGCTACCTGGCACGTGGAAAGCATGATCAAGAGCAGGAGATGAAATAGGTACACACAATCACAGCTGTCACAGAGACAGTCCATGGCGCACACCTTTCCTCCACGCGTGTGCGGCGACAGAGCTTGCAGCGAGAAACAAGCACAACCAAAATTTCATCGTCTAGTTCAGCCGCGTACGATTCTCGGGGAGCGGGGTATACCTCTCCGGAAATTTACCCGCTGTAACCGCTGTAAGCAACCGAAGTGACAGCAGCGATCCCGACACAGGACAATAAACGCACACATGGGGTTACCCTGCCTCAGTTTTTCATCGCCAACCTAATATCTCCGCGGCAGCCCGTCCACTATCGATGTGCCGTAGGCCTGCGATAGCTCCTCGTCTCCTCACCTTGCCCGAAGCTTCGGCGTTTCCACCGGGCTCCAAGCCCGCCACCAAGACCAAGCCGCGACCGTCTCCGCCCCTGGCCACCTCCTCTAGCTGCATGCCTAGGGAGGGCTTGCGCTGCATTTGCACCTTGACGACTTCGATCTGTCCGGTTTGAATGTCGTGTTCGTTGGGTTGACAACCAAAACGCCGGGTGTGTATGCGGGTCGGTTGGACACGTTATTTATCGAAGTTATACTGGTTTCGACGACACAAACAGACAATATTCTTGGCGTTTCAATTAAATAGTGTGAGTTTCATTCAGCATTTAGATGTCCTTTGGTACAGGATGGAACACGCGGTAGGGGCGCTTATCGGCAAATGAATGCCGGCATCTTTTTATCACCTGGTTTGTATCGCTGTTCTACACAATGTTCAGCGAGAACGGTTCCGCAGAAATAGCTGCGGCACGTCATGGTGCAGAGGAATACGCCATGTTCAACTACGGCATGATAAGTCAAAGGTTAACCACATTTGTATTTCTTTCGTGCTGGAAGCCCGAATAGAGACGCTTTAGGGACACAGCACTAAAACGAACGTTTTCCGCACCGTAGTCATCACTATGCGCCGATGTGTGAACCGCTAGTGGGAAACCTTGGTGTACTATGCTTGTGAGGTGGTTTGCACACGCTGTGTGATACACTTGCTGTGTGACACAACTGCCGTGGGATGCCTGTGTGCCTCTCCGCGGCCTCTGACTTGCTGTACACATATCTCCCAAGCCACGTGTCCCCTAGGGGTAAAACTAATTAGACCGGTACTGGAAAAGTTTGCTGACTTGGCTTCAGTATAAAAATTGTTCCCAGCGCAATTGGGGACACTCTCCATACTGCATACTGAAGCCAAGTCAGCCTTCGTCCCTTGGGACTGTACGGCCTTCTCCAATGAGCGGACGCCATATTTTCTGGGTCCATAACCTGTAACTGACTGCGTACTACGCTGTACGTAGGTGAGGACAAGGAGTTTGATCACAAGAAGAACGGCGATGCTTCGCCCTTAGCTAGCGCGCGTCGTCGGTGTCACTCAATTCACTTCGGGTCAACAGGGGGCAACCAATCCTAGATGGCTACGGACCGGGGCATCTGACTGTCACATGTTGCTGGTCGGCACGATTGTACGCAGAACAAACTCACGGCATAGTCAGTGTCCTTCGACTCCAGCCCCACCACGCCATCCGCACGACTTTGCGTTTCCAACGTCAACCGCTTGTAGACTCCATCCAAAGTCAGCCCAGACGGGCTCCTTGCTAGACCGTCGTCTCCCTCGTCCTCCACTTTGGCCTCGTCTTCGACGTTCAAACTAGCCGTCTCCTCGGCGTCCCCGTCTGCTTCTGATGCCCTCATGACACCACACGAAGCTGAACGAGAGGCGAACCCACTGCATCTCGTGATGGCCGGGCTGGGAAGCAGGAAAGAAGCGCCGTTCCGCAGCTGCAGAGCGAGGAGAAGCAGCAAGGAGCTCGCTGCCGACTTGCTCATGTTTCTCGAGTCAACACCCAGGAGAGCAACGAGGACACAATGCTCTCGTTTAGGTGACGTACACTCTCTAGTTCCAACAATCTCAAACAGATAAGCCTAGAAAATTTCTGAGCCTGAGGTAGCAACCCTTCCTCGTGCTGGTGTTTGTAGGTCAGGGGTGGGGCGTGCTGCGGCAAGCAAGGTCGTGAGTCATGTTGTCGTGTGCGGGTGACTTTTTCGCGCAAAAGGGGCACCGCGACAAATGCATAAGGAGGTATCATATTTGTCTGCGAAGCCCCGATATGCGAATTCCATGTTAGGCAACCCTCGACCCACAGCACCGCTCTTCGTTGTCCCTGCGCGTCCCACACTAGCTAGGACGACACCACTCACCCTTCTGGGAGATATTGAAGCCCCACGCAATGGGAGGAGAGAAAGAATCGGCAGCGGCAGCAGTGCAGGTGTGGAACGTGATCGTCTTCCTTGTACGTCACACACATCATTTCCGTTGACTTCGCACCCCGGCGAGAGAGCCTGGAAGCAGCGTTGCGGGACAGGAAGATAGGAGGGTGATGCGACAATTTTTCTGTGCGCTTCCTTCGCAGTTCGATCTGCAGGTTGCTTTGGTTACACACCGCGACATCGGGAAGGAAACTCTCAGATCTACGCTGTAAGGTCGTGTACAATGCCATGGCCTACAGACCCTCTTCGCGTATACAAGTTGAAGAAGGTCGCTTCGCTGTGCTCTTGCACACCTCGTCTCCTGCACGCTTCGTCGTCGCCTGCATTGCATAGTTGTACAATCCGCTGGTATCAAACCACGCCCCCAGAAAAGCTCTACTAGGACATTCCCTACATTACGTTCAGAGATCGAACATTTCATATGTACATGTAAAGGTAAATCAACAGGACGCTCCACTTGGCTCGCTGTGGGTCAATGCCTAGACTATGCTTCTCGGGGGAACATCCCGCTCTTGGTTCATATGACATCCTCACATCTGACTACCGTCTGACCACGCCCGGAACACAGCGAACAGGAATTCCATTACCGTACACATACGCACAACGAACTCCATTACAATACGCGAGTATACTACAGCCTGGTGGTGTAGACTATAACTGTACATGTACATAAAAAATGCTCATGCCCCCGTATTCCGGAGTCCAGAGTCGTCAAAAGCGGTGAGTTTTACCCTTCTTGAGCTGGTTCTCGATATCGCACTCCAACTGCTTTATGGACTTATTTTGGGATTTCGAATTTCGGAGGCAAGAGTGCCATGGCGACTCACGAATACGGCCAAGGGAAGGCCGATGCATGACTGATTGTGGGACCTCAAAACACGAAAGCCCATGGTAGCATCCTCGCCCTCCTCGCCCGCGCTGTAGGCCAGAGTTTTGTGCTGTCTCTTCCCTTGGCCTCTTCCCACAACCACTAACGTGTACATCAGAGGTATCACACGCACACCCCAAACGCATGGTACACCGTCTGACTAACAGTTAGTTCCCCGCCGCCTCGAAAAATCGTCTGCCTTGCGACAGCACACCGAGCTTATGGCAGAGATGGAAGAAATGTTTACTGACAGCACCAAGGACAACGACAGCACCCTCGGTGCCAACGACCCCGAGCTTGAGCTGCAGCGTTGGCAGCAGTGGCGAAACGTCGACCTCGCCCGTACCGTGGCCCCGCCGACGGGGAGCTCGACTCAACCAATCGAAATCGACTGCGCGGGCACCGCGGACAACAACACGGCGCTTGCCGGGGGGGGGGAGGAAGAGCGAACTGCGGGCGGTCCGGAAGGCGATGCTCCTGTGGCGGCGACGGAGGGAGAAACACTTTGGGGGCATGCTGTCCACGAGCACGAGCTTTCTGCCGGCGACCAGGTGCGGTGTGTTGCGTGCGTGCCTTCGATTTTTTGCGGCGACAACGCCGCTATGCCAGTGAAAACGCGCCAGTCGCAACGAGACATCGGTGTATACGTGCGTGTTCTTTCCCTTCAGTCAGTGTCGACGGCGCCGTGTAATCCGGCAGACAGATCAAACGGCGTCAAGTCTTGTGGCGGATCTACGAAGTAAAACCCGCTGTCTAGCCCGCCAAGCCCCCTCGTCTGTGCTTGGATATTTCTAGTATCGGCATCGACCGCGCTATTGTAGCCGACTGAGCAATGAAAAGTCGTCAGTCTCAGTGCGGTCGAAAACAGAGGATGCCTCAGGGCGCTTGAAAACCCACGCACACGCCCACAGCAGGGCGTTATGGCCTGCAGCAGCCATGACAGCGCGCGAAAAACGCAGGGACGCAGTTTTTTTTGCGTTGCGCGAACCCACACCTGCCGACACAAGAGTTTTTTATTTCCCCCCATTGGTCACCCCCCTCCCCCTTCGGCCTTGTTTGCCATCGGGGTTTGGGTTTTGGTCGCTTGGCAAGGACGTTGTAAAACAAGCCCCCCCCCCCGGTGCTTGCCATCGGGGTTGGGTTTTCGTCGCTTGGCAACGACGTTGTAAAACAAGCCCCCCCCGCCCCCCCCGGTGTTTGCCATCGGGGTTTGGGTTTTCGTCGCTTGGCAACGACGTTGTAAAACAAGCCGCCCCCCCCGGTGTTTGCCATCGGGGTTTGGGTTTTCGTCGCTTGGCAACGACGTTGTAAAACAAGCCAATTCACTTCGTGAACTCGGCAACCAGGTTACCGTTTTTTTTTTTACCTCGGTTTTTTTTTTGGCGGTAACCATAATGGTGGTCGAGTAGATCATGTTGTGCGGGGTCGAGAAACCTCACTCCGCGCAACGGGGGATGATCGCACCTCGTTGTGTTAAAATGGTCAAGCTTCCTCGAGGCAGTTACACAGCGCTTACAACTGTCTCTGGAAGTGAAAGCACCAGAAAATAAATTAAGTCATACGTAGCTGTCATCCGTACGCAAGGAAGTAAGCACAAGATGCCGAACACCCTTAGCAGGATGCAGCTCACCCTTCATGCGACTCGCCAAATACCTCACGGCGCTTCGCGCTTGGTGATGTGAGAGCCTGGTCCGGTGAGAACCCGGCGTGCTCCGTCCCGGCTTTGTAGGGATGCGAGGTCAATGGTCAAACGACTACGGCATGCACGACTATGAGTACACCCCCCCCCCCCCCCCCCCACTCGTCATAACCGTACGCCGCCGATCTTTGCGTTGCAAGACCTCAGTGATCACGGCCTGCCGACCGCACGAGTTTTCAATTCCCCCCCCACTCTCCTAACGGTACGCGCGAAATGCACCGGCAGGTCTACGTGTACCGCGGGGTCATCCAGCACCACGGGATCGTGACGCACGTGCCGGTCCCCGGACGAGCGGGAGGCGTGCGGGTCGTGCACTTCGACTCCAACTGCGACGGCGTGGAATCGACAAGCCTGGAGACGTTCCTGAACGTGGGTTCTGATGCAGATGTTTGAACAAAGGTCGAAGTTGTGTAATGCCACTGCTGTTTCACGGCCGTTTGCGGTAGTAGGTTGTTCGTGTACCTGGTGTGCCGGACTGAGTGCCCGCGCGGAGCCCCCTCTCGAAAGACCCCCCAACAGTGCTTGCGAGTTCACGGCCGTACTTGCCAGACTTCTTGTCCAGCAAGAGGCATAAGAACAACGTATCTTCCTGTCGAGGCTGCGAGTTTATAATGTTCTGGATTTGCACTGCCGCTCGGTCACCCGCCTGCCGGCTCCCAATAACCTAGGGGAGCCGGCCCATCGACCTGCAGGCAGCAAACGCTTCAGGGCGACTATCGCACGCGCGCGCCACGGGCTTGTTCCCGCCGCCTCGACTCCCAAGGGGATGAGGCAGATTCGGCAACAATCCTCGGAGCTACAACGAAGTGAACCTCAAACCTCATCGATAGAAAAGCGTGCTAACGCTACTGCTGTAGATCACACACACTTTTTTAACGCCCCAAAAAATACCACTTCACTGGACCCGACCCCTGCCACATGCGCTCAGGGCGGCACCTTGAGAAGAGCCACGTACGGCGCAAGCGCGTGGTCGACCGGCCTCGACTACGGGGCGAGCTACGGCTGCGCCACGGACGATCCTGCGCTTATCGTGACCCGCGCCACGGAGGCGGCCAAGTTTGGCGAGGGTGCCAGCGGGTGGAGCGGGTACAACCTGTGCACGAACAACTGCGAGACGTTCGCGTACTGGTGCAGCACAGGGCGGTGAGGATTCTTCTGTGTGTGAAGTTGGGGCTTTGGGGCGGTACATTTTTTACTTCGCGTTATTTTCTTGCAGTTTTTATGTTGGGTGTTGTTATCTTGTTGCCGGCTGTACCTTTGCCTTGCTGATACTGCTAGATACTACGGTTTGTTTTGCTCCCCCCCTTTTTTTCTGGGAGAGGGTTGGCACAGTGTCCCCTCTCCGATAGCGCCACGAGATAAATTTCCCATTGTACAAACGCCCTTCGCCTGATGAAGGGCACGTGCAATATGCCATGTAAACGTGTTTCTGTTGGCACCGCCCCGCCATATGCGCCCCCCATTTCGTGCACAAGGGTCCTAACCTTCCTCCTCTGCGTCCCGTTTCCATTCGACAACCACAACAACAACAACAACAACAGGCGACAGGTGCTCTCTCGCCAGGCGGCCCGGGGCCTCGTGGGGGCCGGCGTCGTGGCCGCGGGCGCGTCCGCCGTCGTGTCTGCCGGAGGATTCGCCTCTGCGGGAGCCGCCGCCACAGTGCTCGTCCCCCGCGGCGTGCGCGGGGTCCAGCGGGGCGTGAAGGCGATAGAGTGGGCGACGGGGGTGGCGGTCGTAGCCGTGGCGGCCGCGGACGTGGTGTCCACCCTCGTGACCAGGGCTCCCGTCGAGCGCAACCTCAACCTTCGGAGCGGTTCCACGGTTGCGAGCTAGTTGAGGAGTGCGGTTGTGGTTTTGGTGGTGAGGACACAGCAGTGGTTGCGAGGGACTAGTGACCGGGTAGCTGGGCGCGCGTGATGGATGGTTCGTGTCTTGCTTGATTTGTCTTCCGGCGGGAGCGGTGACGGTTTATGTGGTGTTTTGTCGAATGTATCGCATCCTTCTTTTTCTGTAAATAGTAATATTAGTGTATGTAGTCTATGGTGAAAATATCGCGGGAGCAGCAGTCCTCTAGTGTAGTTCGTTTTTTTTTGGCCGTGCCACTCATTTCGCGTGCACCCAGAGCCGCACAATTTTTCGAGATCACGTGGCGGAGGTGGTCTCGTTTGGCTTTGTCTTGAGAGGAGGATATGTATTTTTTTTCTCCTACCCCTACACGGCTTCGTAGAGATGAAAGGCTTTCTCCTACACGGCTTTCTAGAGGTCAGGTCAGGGGTTCGAACCCCGGCGTAGGCGAGCTGTTCTTGCAAAGTGAGTTTTTTCTCTCGCTTCCGCTCCTGGCCAAGTGGATAGCACTAGTTCGTGTGTACACAGAGGGAAGAGAGTGCTGAACTCTTCTCGCATTAAAAATTGAAGGCGAAGTACCGCAGGAGGGGAGGGTAGAGGGAGGCTCTTCTGTGTGACCACGGGTTGGAATAAACGGCACTAGTGCTGTGAGCGCTGATTTGAAGTGAAGAACAAAAAAAAAAAAAAAAAGAGATGCGAGATCAATGGTCTCACGACTACGGCATGCATGACTCTGCGTACACCCCCCTCCCCCCCCTACATGGTTTCTTCGCAGTCCTTACAGACAGCTGTATGCATCTGGTTGGGCGCTTGGGGTGCGGAAGGAGGGGGGCACGTCCTTTTCTTTAGTTGTCTTTGCCGTCGTCTGTTGCCGGAGGTATTTTTTTTTGTCTCATGTATGTATCTTGTGGATAATTGTTAGCTGATTTTTCTGCGTTTCGGCCGCTCGGGCGATATATTGTAGCGCGTTTGGCACTTTGGCAATGAACTTCGGGTCTGTTCTGCTCTGTACATACACCTAGCCGCGATTCCTGCCCTTTGGGGGGATGGGTGCACGTCAAAAGGTTAAGGTTTGACTTTACCACCCGGGTGCGATCTCTGGGAGCAACTTTTGACCTGACCATGATTCAAGTTGTTAGTCGTTGCGCTCGTTGGACGTTGCTACGGAACGGAGACCTCTGTTTTTTTGTGTAATACAATCGAGTCTCAGTTCGCCGTTGTGCCGGAATCTCTCAATCAACGAAGAGAAGAGCGTCAGAAAGCAGTGGTTGGAACGTTGGAACAGCCACTGTAGCAGCAATACAGCACGCGCCTCTTGCAGTTTCGGCCAAGGCTGGGGTTCGCAGTTCCTAGGGCCATGCTACGAATGGCCGCTAGGTGCATGGTAGGTGCTAGTAAAATTCCTGGTGCGCGTTCTCTATGTGCACTAGACTACTGCTGTCAATGGAAGTTTAGCATGATCACGTTTTGAAGGAGAAGTTTTGAACGCATGCATACCTCTCCGGCTACGATCGGCCCTCGGCTCTCACCGGCAGACGGACGGTAAGGTTTTCGCTCGGGGAGCCACAGGGCCACACACACACACAACTTCCCACAACAGCACGCCACACTGCCGACCATCACAGCCTTGAGATGCTGAGCTGTAGCCACACAGGCACAAACACACGTGAGACCTGTATGTATGTAGGAGAAAGCCTGTCATTTACGGTGCATGTATTGCATTGTGTGTTGCTTTTCTTGCTCTAATGAATGGAACACGGTCACCAATTATGCAAGACACTACGTAAGAAATTTTTGCAGGGACTCCGGCGCGCGCTTGATGTGTGTGACGAGCTCTCTGTGGTACACCATCCGCCTCAAGATGTAAATGTTACTTTTCCTGAGCATGTTTCGTGTGTAGGCGCGACCGTCGGCCTGGCCATCCCTACTCACGGATATTTTCTGCGTGCCCCCCTCGTCCGTTGCGTTGCCGCGGCGAGCGGCAGCACAGAGAGCACGGAGAGAGAGAGAGAGAGAGCACAGCAGCTTCTTCACCGCTGGCTGTATGCGATAGTTGTCGCGCGGTATCCCAGCCGATATGCCCATGCAGTCGTCGCGATGTAAAGCACGACCCAGAGCGAGGGCACTGGCCGTCGTTGCGCTCGGTTTGCTGGCCCCACCGACCTGCTGCGGAATGATACACAATTTGGGGGTGCACGATGATGCAAGGAGAGTCTTCCAGATCGAGAGCTTCGGCTTCCGCGAGCGCGGCTTCATGAACTTGACCGTGTCTGGATTTTCGGTGCGTTTGTAGCAGGGTGGTGGGTGTGCGGGTGTGCTTTGTTGGCATGAGAACAAGCGGCGGCGGAAAGAAAAGCGCAGAATTCAGAATTTGTAGGAAATTCTTTGGAAGGCCTGGCAAGATGTGATTGTTGTATGCATAAATTGGCGTGAATAGCTGCAGTCTTCAGTGTTGTACGCATACACTTACTGCTGCCAATTGCACGTTCCCGTTGTGTGTCCTGGGGGGAGAGCGGAATATGGTGTAGGATTCTTCTCTCAAGCGCTATATAAGGGCGAAAAGAAGGCTATCTCGTGCAAGCGACTGCTTTGATGTATGTACACTGCCATCAGCCAGTTCGCATACGTGTACATTTCATCGACTTGGTTGTAGATACTGTAACGGAATGAGGATCCCTATTGCCTGTAACGGGTATGATCGGGTAGCATGTCGACTCGTTGGAACTTGACTCGCTTCTTAGGCGGTCGTTTCAGCTAAAATCACTGCCGCTCCCTTCTTTGCATGCGGTCCCTTACTAGTTCCGTCGCTTGGAGCATTTCCATACTGAGGCCAAGTCAGCCTTAGGCCCTCGGGACTGTACAGCCTCTCCCAATGAGCGGACGCGATTTTTTCTGGACCCATAACCTGTAACTAGCTGGGTACTAGGAGGGTTAACCTGCTGTGTAGAACGAAATCGCGTTGTTCGGGATGACCTCTTTCTCCTCCTAGTCCATCTCGCAACAATGGAAAAGGACCGGAAGAAGCGTAGACAGGTTGGGAGTAGACGGGGGAGCATTGGCTACACAACGGGGACGATGAGAGAGAGACAGGGAGGGAGAGAGAGAGAGAGAGAGAGATGGGAGTTTTTGGAAGACGTAGGGTCGCAGCGTTATGTTGGAATCTCTCCTGCCGTTACTCTCTGTTGCTCCAATATACATACGCCTCTCTAACAATGAGGAGCTCCGGTCCGGGGTCACGAAAAAATTGTCCCCGTGCGGTGCTTGCCTGCTTAAAATTTTCGCGCGAGAAGCGTTCCTACAACTATCGGCATGGTTGTAGGTTCTGTGCCCCCCCCCCCCCCCCCCGAACCGCCCCCGCCCCCAAACCCTATCGTGGTTGTTGGGCCTTGTGGAACAAAAAAGGGGAAAGGACCCAACCCTATCCGTCGGGCTTCCTGGGGAAAAAAAAAAGGACCGAAAATTTTGCCCCAAAAGAAATCCAGGGGACCCCCCCAATAACCCCCCCAAGCGCCCTGGGAAATCCCAAAACCCCGCCGGGGTATACTATTTTTCTTGGAAAATTTTGCGCGTGTCCCGGGTCCCTACTTTTCCCGCTTGGCCTCCCTGCGAAGAAACCCCCAAGGGGACCCCCCCAAACCCCTCCCCCCAAATCCTTTGAAGGGCCCCCCCAGTGTTCCGGGAAAATCCTGGTGTGGCCTTCCGGGTCCAAACCACCAGGCATTTTCGCCGGTTCCCCCCCTTTCCAAAACACCGAAGGGATCAAAATCCCCCCCCTTTTCAGGGCCCTAACCCCATAACACCCCCCCTTTTCCCCCCCACCAAACAAAAAACAATACATGCCTGACCCCCCCCCCCGTGGGGGGGGGGGGCGCTCCACCTACCCCCCCCACCCCCTGGGCCCTCCACCC